CATATTAAAGTGTTTAAAAGACAAGTTTTAGATTTACAGCATAGTCGTTCAGTAGTTTTATTTCAGCCGTCAAAACATTAATTAAATGGGATTCACTCAAACCAGTGAACTGCTCAGATGACATAATCGAGTTACAAAACCAGAAACGCTCACACATGTGAAAATGCTGTGTTTGTTGCATGAATCTTCAGGTGAATTCAAACGTCTGCGGTCTCTCGTGTAAGTGTGTAAAGGGTGTTTTGCTTTGCTTTGTCTATTTCTGTGTGACTGATAATAGCCCTGATTGTTATTGCCACTGCCAGCTGCCACTATAATTTGATGTTTAGAACAAATCAGTGTGCGTACATGTACCTGTGCTTGTGTGCACATGTATCTGAGGGTAGTTTCCACTTGACTTGTGTGGGAGGAAAGTGAAAATGTTCATTGCTTGTGACATGAAGAGCCAAATGTCTATAGGTGTTGACCACAAACCTCACCAGGTGATTTTATTATTTGATTCCTCTTTTCTTTTTAAAGGAGTTCGGTCTTATGATCGTTTAAAATAAAAATTTTATGCTTCTGGAAATTCCTTTTGCAAAGGGTGACATCACAAATACAGCATCCGATTTGGTGCAGCCAAAACCAGTATTTGGAGAAGGCCTTCCAATCTCTTTGTAACTAACTCACTAATTAACAGTGAAGGCTATATACAGCCTCCTAAATTAATATTTCAAACAAAAATAAATGGTAATAAACTATACATGTAAAGATGACATGTTTTTATAAAGAACTTTCATAGAGTCGTAAGAAAATAACTCAAATTTAATGAGTTTGAGACGTGCAAAAATACATTAGAATTTAATACCATGTAAAAATGACTTGAACATTTGAAATGCAGGGCCACCTCTTGCCCACTACTTTTATTTTAAATTTGAAGTAGTGCTGACAGGATCAATCACAAGAATATTGCTCAACAATTGTATTTTATCATTTCTCAAGACTAACTTGTAATTTGTCCTGCTTCCATTTTCTCAAATATGGACCTTTTTTAAAAGCAAAGCTCTCACCTTGTTCCTTTGGGATAGTAAAAGGCATGTTTTCACCTCCTACAGTACTATTTTATATACTTATAGGGAGGCACAATAAAAAAACAAAACACAGCACTACTGGAACTTTAGAGGTTAAATGCATTTATACAGTCTCAACAGCAGCAAACTGATCTCTCTGTGATTCATTCGGCTTCTGGTCATCAGTGAAGCCTGCTGGAAGAAGTCCGCTGGGCATCTTTGGTACATTATTGCTTACCCCTGTATTGAAGCACTTACTGGCACATTCATATATAACTCTGTTTCACATCATTTATCCCCTTTGGTGAAACAGCGGGTTGTCCCTGCAACTCAGCTGTTGAGATAAACTCTGTTATCTTCATTCACCTCTGCTCCACTGACAGGAAGTTGGCCAATGTAAACATGACCTTGCAGAAGTTTTACAGTCCCCCCCCCCCCCAACCCCCTTGACGGTGATACATGAACCCCTCACGTGTACCCAGTCATGTAAAGTGTCATGCTCAAGAACGTGGCTGCACAGTACACACGCATATCTTAACAAAATTACTAAAGCCTTTATGATGATTTCTTAGTTAAAATAGTTTCACAGCAGCTCGGTAAAGTTGTTGAGGTGTGATTGGCAGATTAATTATATTCCTGGTTAAACAGAGTGGCAACTGTCATTTGTATTGTTGAACTGTTAATAAGAGACCAAATACCTGTCGCATAACTATTTTTCACTATGAAAGAAAACATAAGTAACAACTTATTCTCATATTATCTTCTGTTCCAAACACATGTCAGTGCAACATGGCTATTTTAGAAATAGTGAAAAGTACTGTATTGTAAATGAATGTATTATTCATTTTAGATTAAACAAGCTGTCTAATGCACACCTGGTCCTTTTCTGTCTACCTTGATATATGGTTTTTCTAATTTAGGGATTACTTATTATTGATGTATTGTTTCAGGTGTAAGGATGGAAATCGAGAACCAGTTCCAAATTGTCCAAGCCATTCTAATTCCTTTTTTATTGAAACCGTCTGACAACGTTGCCTTCTATCAATGCCTTTTCCTGCTCTGTTTCTGCACTGAGATAGAGTTTATAAAACAGTTGCACTGAAACTGAAAACCTGTGTAGGCCAGATTTTCTTTTCCCCAACAGAAAGAATGAGAGAATCGATAAAGAATCGGGCCGATAAGCAGAAGCGGTAATGGCATTGCTATCAATAAAATCTTATCAATTACCATCCCTGCTCTGGTGATTGAAGTTTGATAGTTTGGTGATAGTAAGGCGATACTCATGAGATGAGTCGATTAGACATTTGATTGACAGTTAATTAATTTTTCAATCAAAATTACACTCAATAGTTTGCTGCTTTTCTGTTTCTGATAACAAACATTGCACTGTAGGTCAAACAAAACAAACAATTTGAAGATTATTATATTTTTCTCCACATTAAACAGTCAATCAGATTCGATCTGATAGATCAGTTATTAGTTGTAGCCTTCGTATTAGGATGCTGTTGTTTTTGTGAATGTGATCCTAGATAAAGTTCAATGAAATTTCAATGGACTTATTGCTGACGGTGGGTGGGCATTTGTAAAATTGTGTGAAAACAATCGACAAATCCACGGCTGGCTGCCTACCCTAACTCATGACCCCATTACTGTAGACCAGCGGGAGGCTTCATATAGTCCAGAATTGATGAGTGAACTGCAGACTAACATCTGGAGGGCATGGAATTGATACACATGCATTTCCACACTGAAACACATATTGGCGCTAGAGATGCAAACGCCAACACAAACATCTAGTGTGTCCTCCTCCGGTGGAATCCCACACAACTCGGCACAAGCCTGCACAGGATCCACAGATCAGGTTACCATGGTTATAGATCCAGGCGGAAACTCTGTCCACCAGCCCGCATATTCTGGGATGAGTTAAAATTACCACCACAGTTGTCTTTGTTCCTCCTGGCTTCTTTAGTGCTTTTTCTGTTGCTTTTTTTTTTTTTTTTTTTTTTCCAGACACATACAAACATGCACACTTTCCCTACTTTTATCCGCTATATGGTATCTTTAGTTAAGTTATTTTGTGTTTATGAAACCCCCGCTGTCTGTTGCATAATCACATAAACTCAGTTTCAGTTCTCTCTCTCCTCTCGCTCCAGTTCCCTGTGTCTCCCTTGTTTTCTCTGTGGTTGTCTGATGTTTTGTTGTGTGCGTTTGTGTGTGAATGAATTCCCAGTCAACATCAACAGACAGAAAACGGATGAGGAGAGTCTTTCTGTCTCTTGGGCGACAGTGGAAAAGGGCATTTGAGGATGTCATGCCACAGTAACATGGCTCTTCTGGTGCTGGCACACGCCTCATTGGACTTTAAGTCACCCAGAGGCTGCTGGGATACTTTCTGTCACACTCTACATCTCACAACTGACTCACGCTACTGTTAAAGCCTCAGGCAGGGCAGCACTGAGGACAGATATGTGCTCTATTTTCATGTGCTCTGTGTTGTATTCAATGGTCAGAGAATGACTTGAAGGATGAAAGACGGACGAATGATTTTTGTTACATCACATTGTTTGAATAATGCTGATTTATTATGACGTAGCTTCGATAACATGGTAATATTTTACTTGGTAAATGTTATCATTTGGGAACAAAATAAGTAAAAATAAGCTAGAGAAGGGGGAAATGAATATGTGCATTCAGTCAGACAGTGCAACATGCTGTAAACAAGCCAACAGTTTAATCAGATTATCTAAACCAAGTTAATTGGATGTAAATCCAGAAGTGAGCAAAATGTTGGTTATAATCCTTCACTGAACGGGAAAACTGAATGCACATAACTACTCCCACCGATGAGATCATAAAGCGTTTATTGAGAAATCTAATTCCAGTTTTTACATTTCCTCATTCCTTGTACTTTTAAGGTTTGTCACCATTAGCGACTGTAACAACAGTGGTAGCTAATATTTCTGGGCTCCACATAATGTTTTTACAATCCTTCAATAAAAGAATAGAATTATTTAATTCTTTAGCAAGGCTGCAACATTTGTGCATAACAACAATTAGCATTTTTTTTCACATTTAAGACACCTGACAGCTGTTACAAAATGTTCTCTTTTTGAACCTAAAAGACAGAAAAATCGAAGTTGACCTGGAGGACAGATGGCTTTAAGAGCTTTACTTTAGTGGTGTTTTATGCAACAGCTGTTTACATTGAAATTTAATGTTGTAAAATGGAGAGAAAAGCCTTGCCAGTGACCCTCAGGTAATGTGAGCTTGTAAAACTTCATCATCTGACTGCTCATGATGTTTGCCTTCTGGATATCCTTTTGGTGAAAGTGCCGCATTTAAAGATCTTAAAGTGTTCTACGTTATTGTTGCCTATAAGAGGAATGATGGCTAAAGCTATCAAAATAAGAACCAAGTTGTAATAAAGCAAAATTAGTTGAAAATACTGGAATATTTTGCATAACTCAAAAGAAATATGAGGTTTTGATCAACATTTCCTCTTTGAATTGGGTAGTAGATCCTAAAAAAAGACGTTAATAATTTATGAATTTGTTTCTTCAGCTAACGAAATTAAATTGTATCAGGTTCTTTTAACATCTTCGATCACAGCTGTACTCCACTCTCTCTCCTTTTATAACTCTAATAAAAATATTAACATATTGATCATGACTGGAATTACAAAAAATGCAATGTTCATCTGTAACTCAACTTTTTCTACCTGCCACCTGTGACAAGGACTGGCTTTTTCTTTTTTCCCCCCTCATTATTCCTAAAGTTACATGCACCCTCTATAGGTCGAACACAGTTCCCTCTTGCCTTCCTACAGCCATGTTTGCTTAGCACATCAGTACCACTACACACTAACTTTTTGCTTGTGATTAAATGCTGTCTGTCAAATTAACTTATGTCTCACCTCCCTCCTCCTCCTTATCCTTGACCCCTCTGCCTCCCCAGTCTCTCCTTCTCTTTCCTCTCTTCCTCTCTACTTCTTCTACCTCCTCCTTTCCCTCTCTCTCTTGCCCCTTCCACACAGATGCTCCCAGCCGCCCAGCTTGACAGGAGTGATGGGATGTGTCAACTAGGTATTACACCTATCCCAACATTTTTACACTGCAAGCAGGGAGACTGGCTGGGTGGGGAAAATATTTTGGGATATGCAGGTGACGCTAGAATAAGGCTGTTAACATCTCTTGTGTAGTTTCAGTAAACATAGCTGCACTTTTTTAGGGTTGAACAATTTAAGGAGTATATGTAGTGGCAATATTTCTATGTATAAAGTATTTTGAGGGGGGCATCATTGCTGTTTTTTATAGTAAAAATATAGGGAGGGAAAAATGTTCCAGACTGGACTCAAATTGAAAAAAAACTTTCTGAGCAATATTGTAATTAAACTACAAACTTATATAATGATATACTTTTTTTTACCAAGCAGGGTTCATAGCTTTTAAAGTCAGCAGTCACAGACTAAACTGTCGACTTTTTTAGAGATTGTTAAGAAGTTGTTAATACCATAAGTTATACTGAAAATCACAGTTCTGGGAGTTTTTTATATCCAGTATTGGAAAAGAAATATCCAGTTACTTGTTCAGGCTTGCTATGTTTTAAGTGCATGTAAGAAACATGTTAAGGGAATGCTTTTGAATATTTGATCACGTGGGTCTTTGTTTCGGTCAGTGTAATTTGTATATTTACGTTACACTCCTACCATCACCGTCTAGACACACACATAATGAAAAATGGGGAGAAACCAAAATACCAACCAACATTTAGTTAATCAGTTATACTGCTATAGTACATAGAGTACATAGACTACAGATAGGTTTGGTAACTTGGTTTATAAGTAATGAAGGAAATGAAACAGCAGTCCAGTGGGATGAAAGAAAGCGGATCCTTAGTGGCTTGTCAACACTTCACTCATCTGTAAGACTATTTATTTGGAGGTTAAGGTCAACATTTTAAGGTATCTTCTCAGTGATCCATCATCCATCATGTCCTTGTGTTGCAACACTACTTGTAAAGTGAACCTGTCGACCCTGATGATCTACTACAGTATTGGTGTGTGATGTAGTTTCATTTACAGCGGGACATGGTTCATGACCTGGCTAATGCCACTGTCTTAAAGAGCCAATACGATACACAACAACAACAATAAGATGTTGTTAAAGGACCAAAGTACTGTAATTTTGAAATGTAAAAACAAAGTGTGAACCTCTTTACTGTTTTGTTAATTCCAGACAGTGGCGTCAGAGATATCACATGAGACATGAATCATCATGCTTTGGGCATCGGACAAACATGTGTGACTGTCTTTTTGTACATATTGTACACCAAACCACTGCATTAGTTGGTTGGTTAGTTCAGCTTTATTTAATCACAAAGTCTCATTAAGATCAAGATTTCTTTTACAATAGAGACCTGAGATAAAAATACATACAACAAGACAGTTCAGTCACACAGCGGTCATCACACACAGTCACAAATATTAAGAATATGAGTTAAGTTCCTCAGAGGGATTGGTGTCTCTCATTTCCATTTTTAGCATTAACTGATCTGTAAATGTTTTTAAAATAGTAAATGAAGGGAAAAGTTTCAGAGCAATTGGTTCATGCAGGAACACTTGATGTCGACGTGTGATGGTCTTTTTATTGGGTTTGACAGGTAGTTGAGTGACTGCTCTGAACACTGATCTTGACAACTCTTCACTTCCTCACACTTCTCATTACAATACTGTCAGTGAGTGACAGTTAATGATAAACCAACACTGACCAGAAACTGAACAATGTCATCCTCGGCTAGAACAAACTGACATTCCTCTCTTTCTGCCTCCTGCATCTTTTTCATCCTCTCTCAACTCTGATCATTCTGTTCCTCCTCTCTATCAAACACATGTCCATGTTTCACTTTTCTTCACATCTCTTTGCATAATCTCACCTCTCTATGTATTACCTCCTCCTCTCTTGTGTCAGACCTGTTGGCAATATGGATTATTTATTAAATGTAGGCTTTGTTCTCCCAAAGGCAGCTTATTAACTCTGTTACGCTGTTGATTATTTGTTAATGATTGGTATAGGGCTGCATTATTTATTTAGTTATTTGCTGATTATTTTCTTGATTATTTGATTAATTGTTTGGTCTATAAAATGCCTATCTTAAAGGCCAAGGTAATGTCTTCAGATTGTTAGTTTTCTCTGACTAATAGTCAAAGTCTTTTTTTGCTTGAAAAATTACTTGCATGATTAATTGATTATCAAAATAGTTGCTTACCTGTTTCAGCTCTAGATTGGTTAATCACCTAGTCAAGAAAGCAGGGCCACAACTGATGTGTTAAAGGGGCTTTTTCATAATCTGTTTAGCAACAAAAAGCCTATAAAGATATATAACAGACTACTGATTTCTCTTTTCACTTGATAAATGGTTGCAGTTAACATAGTTTTGTCGTATTTTGGACAAAAAAAAAAAACAAGAAGAAGAGACCTGAGTCAAGTTTAACGGCCTGGCAGCCTCTCAGTTCTCTCTGATTTGATCAGACTTCACAATGACGTTAGGTTATTGGAACCCATAAAGTTATAAATCCATATATTAATCGCTCTGTTTATCTGTCTATTTTTATCCAAGCAGGTGAGGCAGTCCTGGACGATGTAATCGGACTGAAGGATTCATCTGCAGTGTTCACACAGGAGCGAGACAGAGGAGGGACAGAGAAAGAGGAGGAGGGGGAGCACATCAAAGACACAAGGATGGGTGTGGGGAAGAATACCACCTCCAAGTCGTTGGACAGCAGCAGTGAGGGAGGAAAATATGAGGAGGAAAGCAAACATGGCACAGATTTCTACCCTATTCCGGTACACGACTGTGTTTATTGGTCTTTTTTATTGTACTGTACTGTACTGCATTGTTTCCACAGAGACAAAACCACAGCCGTATCAGGGACATGCTCAAGGCACGCTCACATAATGAACAAATGACAAAGACAGGGTTCGGTCAATATGCATGCAACCTTATAATTACTGCCCTCTTCCTCCCCCGCCCATCTCTCTCTTTCATTGACTCAAGCTCAGATTTGGCATTGCTTTTTGCTTGTAATGTATATGTGTGAGCAGACAGCCCGAGTACAAACGGTGGACTTCATAGCCAATTGGTGCTGCTGTTTAGTCCATCCATTTCTTTTGTTTGTCCTCTTGGCACCAGGCCATAACTTCATGTAGGTCAAAAGGCATAATGACAACAAACTGCTTGCTTAGCCTGCTGTTACTGTGACCCAGCACCCGGATATGAAAACTTGAACTTGAATTCATCTGCTGTCCAGAAACATAACTCTAAATGAATGTTAATGCTTCTGTATTTGTTTGCTCACACATTCACCATATCATTATATAAATTGACAATGTCAGTGTCAGTATTTTCCGCTTGTTTGCTGTTCGGTCTTCCCTGAACTGGTATTGGAAACTGGTTCAGTAGAACACAAAGGGAAGGAAATATGATACAAGCTTAAAGTTTCCTTTGTGCTTATTTTGTCCCATTTGTGTACCTGACGGTAAAACCTCTTAGGTTACAGACATTAATCTCAAACATTTCACAAATTCTTTTTACATGTACAGCTGCTCAGTGTTTAATCTGGGGGGGCTCGGCATGTAGACACAGCAAAAGTATGTTTACATGTGAGAAATCCTTGAGTACATTCGAAGGTCTGTCCTCTCCTTTATGTTTTTTCTCACAAGGAATCGCAGGACTGCACCGTAAAAACTTGTCTGTAAAGACAGACTGGAAGCAGTTGATGGATGAGCATGTTTGCACACTTCCATTTCTTTGCATCTTGCCCCTCAGACATGAAAACATTCAAAAGTATATAATCTCTAAATGTCATTTTTAGTGTTTGTAATCTTCCTCTCAGTCTGTTCAGTTTATAATGACCTTTACTTTGTTGATTAACATGACACAGATACTTTTGGGACATACACAGGAAAAGCACACACTTGCACACATACCCTGCGGATGATATTTGTTTTTGTAAAGTGAGTTTGGATAATGTTGGAAACACGTGTTCATGTGCAGGTTATAAAATCTGGTTCATTAACATCCTGGCAACTTGACACTCGCATTTTTATTCTTTCACACCTCGCTGCATCAACATGCACTTCTCGCCTGTCTTTTCATGTGTTTTTTTCAGCCGGCCAACAATGTGTCAAAGGTTGGGCCAGCGTGCTTTTCACAAATTAAGATTGCCTTATGAATTGCCATTAAAAGAAAAAGGACAACATCAAAGATTTGAATTGTGTGTCTGTCTGTGTGTCTGTCTGTGTGTGTTTTTAGGTGGTGGTAAATGGAGTGGGTGGTGCCAGTGGAGACCAGGATACTGAGAACACAGAGCTGATGGCCATTTACACTAAAGAAAATCAAAGAGCAGAAAAGGTAACAGGAGAGGAAAGATTGATAAGTGAAAAACAATCGTCATTTCTCGTGCTGGTTTATTCCCAAATAAGCCTCTATATAGCAGGCTGACTTATGGTCATGTGGTTCTAAAAGCTTACAGTCAGAATCACAGTTTCAATGACTTTGCTTTTCCCCTCTCACCTTTCCCCTACATTATTAAAGTTGTAATCCTCATGATTTCAGTCTGTAGTACCACCAATCTATAGTTACCATAGTAACAACAAGTGTGGCCTTATACTACAGCAAACACTCCTTGAACAGCAACTCCATCTGTTTACAGTGAGACCAAACAAACTGACATTGTTTTATTAAAGAAGTCAGGCAAAAATAATTGAATCCACTTTCTGATTTCATGCTGCACAAGTAGTTTTCCACTCAGCAGCAAGTTTCCTTGGTTAGAGGTTGGAGGTGTGCAGCTTGTCTCCCAAAACTCTTTGTCTGCTCACTGTGGCTGCTCCTTTTTGTTTCATTACTCCTTCAAAGATTAAAACTGATCCATTTTTGACAGATGAGTAAAGAAACAACCATAAATAATGAAGCATTGTAACGTTTATATTTATAACTTTTGAATTGTTGTATTTAGTATTAAATACAAAGCAAGGTAAACTATGACCTTCATTTGTGTGTGCGTGTGATATCATTTTACAATTTATAGTTTGAATTTAACAAATAAACATTTGGTATTGGAAAACTCAGTTTTATGGTTCACTACTTAACTGGTTCTTTGTATTTAAAAAAGTAAAACACAAACTCATTCCCACTCTAACTAGCACAGGAAAGTGCTGACGACATGTGGACCAGAAATCAGTCCGACTCATCAAACAGCCATCTTATCTCCCCTTTTTTTCTCCTCTGTGCTCTTTTTTCACTCTCACGGTGACTGTGCATTTTTCTTTGCTGAGAGAATGAAGTTGTGTTTTTTTCTCTTTCACACAGTTTCTTTCTTTCTCTGAATTTTATGAATGATAAAAAAAACTTAGCCTCCCTTATGTCTGCTCAGACGTGCTGTTCTCACATCAACCATTGATATGACTGTGTGATTATTATTATTTATTAGTTATTTTCCTGTATGTTTGCATAAATATTATTTTAGTGTAGAGTACAAAAGTAAACATGTCATGAAAGATATAAACTATGAAGATCTCATTTATCCTGTTTCTTTGTGTGTGTTTGTAGAGCTCAATGTCTGAGACGTTGGACAGCACAGACAGTACAGACGCAAGGAGGATGGATATGATCTATACCATTGAAGACACCCCACCCTGGTACCTGTGTGTTTTCCTAGGCTTACAGGTAAATCTACGCACTGAACGGTTTTTCTCACATGGCTGACTCACAGTCGTCAGTATATTTTCTTTACCTAACCAACGGATGTGTTTCACCATATGGACTGAAAAACATGCACTTACATGTCCTGTGTAGACAGGGTGTGTCATATCCTTTCCCGTGTGTGTACTTGTCATCTCAGTGCAGTATTTTTCATCTGACCGTCTACAATATTTATTATGCAACTGGACGCTAAACACAAAAATAGGATTGTGCTCACAGGAGTTGTCATTTGGTGGTTTACTGTGTTGATGTCCTCAATGTGTGACCACAATGTGTTTGTATCTGACACTGGACTTTTTTCCTCTGTCATCTGCCTCTGTTTTGGAGTCATAATTGTATATCTATGTATGATAAAACACATCTTCAGAAATATAAGTGTACATCTGGACACAAACCCTTCAATCAAACTTCACCGATTGTAGTACTGTGGGTTGATCCTCAGAACAACTTTAATGGCTTGTTTGTCAGGAGGGATTAGCAAAGGCTGACAGGTAAAGAATAGCTTGAATTGCTTGTCTGACAATAGAAGAAAAGGAATAAACCATAGCGGTTTATCATGATGCTTGATAACAATATGGATGAATAATTCAACAATGTAAATGTATCCAAACAAACCATACATCCAACAGCAACTTAACCACCACTGAAACTGCACTTAGGAAATATTAGGTCTTGATACTTTTTTTTTTGTAATTTCGAGATGTATAAATGTTTGTGAATGGGTGAATGTGAGGTAGTATCAAGCAGTTTGAGTTCCACCCATTTACAATTAACCATAAATGTGTTGGGGTTTTTTGTTTTTGCGAAATTCAGCTAACAGGCAAACAAAAAGGTAATTAACTCTAGGAGAGTTTTCTACCTGGAAGGTTGGTAGGTAATATATATATATATATATTTAAAAGGTTGTAGCTATGGTGTTCTTGTGCTCTGCTGACCTGACCTAACCTAACCGGCAGCGTAGACCTCAAAATGTCATGTCGAACAAAGTCAAACGGTGAACACACACACAAACACACTCCGACTCTATGGCTTCTTGTCTTTGCAGCACTACCTGACGTGTTTCAGTGGAACTATCGCAGTGCCATTCCTCCTCGCTGAGGCGATGTGCGTTGGCTTCGATCAGTGGGCCACCAGTCAGCTCATAGGGACCATCTTCTTCTGTGTGGGGATCACCACCCTGCTACAGACAACACTGGGCTGCAGGTACACGCATACATACACATAATACTGTCTTACATGGCCTCAGGGATATACTTTCTTAAATACACACACTCCCAGTCACACAGTAGATTTGTATCTACATACTAACACGAAATTGCAGTTTTTCTATAGGTCGCTCATTTTATTCCATCTTTCACTTCCTCATCTCCTCCCTTTTTTACGCCCCCTCTTTCTTCCACTCTCTTCCTCTCATCTATAAGTGCTACTTTAAGACAAGGGCCATTGTTGACATGAAGTTCCTCTTTCACAGTCCTTCCTCTTCTTGTCACTCAGGAGTGTGTTTAAGTGTGTTTGCATGCATTTAAGTAGATCCTGACCCGTCCTTTTTTGTCATGGTAGGTTCCCTGAAAATATCTCACGGGTAAATTAAACAGACGCATAGTAAAAGAGGTTTTTAAAAAGACTTGTATGCATATTTTCTATCAGAATATGATGAGTTGATAACTTTTTAAGTTCCTTGTTTCGTTTATGTGACTGCAGTCGTCCCATGTGACTGAGCCTTATTTGTTTTGTAATAGTTGAGTCAGCTTTCAAAAAGAAGCTCAGATGTTATTAAGAAAACCACAGAAGCTGAACAGATTCCAGAAACTGAAGATCTGTGGCGTTGGACTACACCTGTTAATCTCTTTAATTAGCCGCCTTTTCGTTTTCAATTGTTCTTTGCACTTACACAGTAATGTTGCAAGTACATAATGCAGCCGGTTTGGGTTGTGTGTTTCATAACCAGTGATTCACCTGATTTATCTCTGGCGGTTATATCAATATCAGTAAAGTAACCGCTTACATGAGACATTACCTGTTGCCATGGATATTATCCTACCTTTTTGGATCTGTGTTTTAATAAAAGCAAGGTCATGTTGGCATGAGGTAGTGTTTTTCTTTCATGAAAGAGGAGCAGTTCAGGGAGGTAAACCCTTGCTTTTTTTCCCTGTTTCTGTAATAAATCTTAAATCTTTCCATCCTGGTGGCAGATTTTGAGTGTTTCATTATTATTACCGGAGTGCAGCAGCTCCCACCACTATCGCTCTAGCAAAATCACTTCATTTAGACAAACCCAGACAGATACAGATACTCACTGTTCTTTTTGACGCAAACTCCATGGCCTTGACTGACGCCTCGATGAAAATGGTGTGTAAACACTGTCTTATCTACTTCTTTTTCCTTAACTCCTACATTTAGTGGGAAGTTCAGGAGAAACCTTTTATTGATAGATGTATGTGGTAGAGAAGACTGTATCTGTATTCCACAAGACTGGGATTTTGCTGACAAATCTTTATGTGCTTTGAGGTTAAATATGGCCACAGTACTTTTTTTTTTTTGTGTACTTTTTAGTGTCCAAATAAGGAACAAATACATCATGTCAGGACACGCAATCTCTGGCTAAATAAATGTAATTTTAATTTGAGCCACCACAGGCACTAGACATAGGCTAGACATAGCCCTTCCATAAAAGGGACGTTACCCAACCAACTGATAAATAATACAGAAGACTGATGCATTTTGGAGACAGATTTTATATTTAGATTGTCTGAAAACATTTTTAATATAAGAAGCTTTAATATTTATCTTGTCATTGCAACAACAGGGACATTTTCTGTTCAGTGTGGCCTCCAGGCAGAGGGTGTTGGCTCTTTCTTTCTCCCTTACTCAGTTCTTCCTCACTCTCTGACACAAACAAAGACACAGTCTAGTCTTGGCTTGAACGTGAATGGCATTCCCGTCACACCAGCAGCCTACATGCTCAGAGGCTGTGCTGAGGTGACACAGACAGCCACTATCTGTGGATTACTTTCTCCTAAGAATTTCCACTGGGTACTAACAGAGAGAGGGAGAGGAGGGAAATGCAAACACATGTTGATACTTAACACTAAAACACAACTGTAATGAACTGATTGATGGTCAAATGTAAGTGCGGATACACCCAAAATGTGTTGCCAAACAAATTGGACTCTGATCACTATACATTGATACATTGAATGACTACCTATTAAACTAGCCTAGATCCTGACTATTACCATGCACTGACAACAGTTAAGCCCTTTTTAAATGTGTGTGTACGCGCACACACACACACACACACACACACACACACACACACACACACACACACACACACACACACACACACACACACACACACACACACACACACACACACACACAATGGGTGCAAGTCCAACCTGAGCTTGACCTATAAAGGAAAAAAATCTGATGCTGGGGCCGAATTGACTGTTGATGTGTGGGGACTCGACGGGCTTGTAGTCTTCTACTCCAGACCTCTTACTACTTCTATTTTAATCTTTTTTGTTTTCTGAAGGATTCAAGTAGAGTAAAATCAATAAAGTGAAACAAAATAAAATAGGAATTCAATGTGAATGTCAAGCCGTTAAACTGCATCTTATGTAAGCAGACGTATGTTACATCTTGAGCAGGTTGGATTGTCTCAGTTAGAAGATATTTGAATGCAAGACACTGAAAAAATAAACATAGACATATAGTAGCAGAAATAAGATGGGGAGGGGGAAAATCTTCTGTGTGGATTGATGAGTCAGAGTGCTGGGTGAGGTTGATTGAAAGAAATGCCCAGATGCTGTCTGTCTGTCTGTCTGTGTGTGTGTGTGTGTGTGTGTGTGTGTGTGTGTGTGTGTGTGTGTGTGTGTGTGTGTCTGTGTGTGTGTCTGTGTGTGTGTCTGTGTCTGTGTCTGTGTCTGTGTCTGTGTGTGTGTGTCAATGATGCTTTCTTTTTTGATGTTGTTGTTTTTCTTTACTGATTTACCTTTTTCAATACTTAATCAGTATTTTTTACTTTTCGTAATTAAAGATCAAATACCCTCTTCAAGTTTTACTTAAATTACATCTGCCCAGTATAACCACAAGCTTTGCTGTTTTAATTTTTTATTTGAACACTCCCTTTGTTGTACATCTGTGTGATAATTCAGGCTTGTAACGTAATTTCTTACTGGTGCTTTTCTTGTGTTTAGGTTGCCTTTGTTCCAGGCCAGCGCGTTTGCCTTTCTCGCACCAGCCAGAGCCATCCTGTCACTGGACAAATGGAAGTGTAATAATACAGGTAATCCCTCTCTCTTCTTCTCCCTCTCACTCTTCACTTCAGTACAAGACACTAAAACGTTGTGATAAGAACTGTGGGTTATTGTATCTTTGTTTACTTTGATCCCAGCACTGTCAACATCAAAGCCTAAAAAGATGGCAGAGAATTTAAACGGGGACCCAAATGGGATTATCCACTTTATATCTGTGTGCTCTGAACAAATAACTGGAGTTATGATTCACATATTGATCTAATTAATCTTTTTTTCCACAACCAGAGGTTCCAGTCTTTAACAGCACAGAGCTCTTCCACACAGAGCACATCTGGCACCCCAGGATACGAGAGGTGAGGCAAAAAATGAAAGATTGTAATGGACTTGAACGGTGGATGGGAAGGGGCCCGGAGGAAGGAAGCTTGACAAGTAGAAGAAAGCAAAACTGGATAGACGTGTTAGGGGAAGTTAAAAAAAAAAAAAAGCTAAAATATGATTAGTGTACACTGAGATGTTATTCAGCATGACTTGAATAACTCCTTACACAATGTTTTTACACAACTATAGTTAAATAAAGGAGGCTTTCTGTGTTTTAACAGTTGAACATTTAGGTTTTTTTGGCCTCCAAATAGGAACATCACTGTCTGTATATGGCTGCAGGGTTTGATTTTCTGTGACAGGAGCTGTTAATTTGTATTAACCTTTTTCTGTTTGCGTAAGCCAGTTGAGTAATTGTTTTTTATGTGACGTGTAAACGAGACTAAACTCAATCAAATTGAGTCAAATTGTCGAATGGGACAACGAGGGGCTGAGGGCAGCAGGAACGTGCATGTGATAAAAGGTGACAGAAGAGAACACAAAGACAAATAAAGACAGAACAAACTGGATTATCACTCAGAAGTATCGAATGGAAACTGGATGACTGGTGTCTCTGTTACCCTGTCTCCTCCAACCAGGATGCAAACAAAATGTTCCTTGGTGCTGATTAATTACTCCAAAGCACATGTACCATGTGACCGATCAGTGCTGAGCTGAATCCAACAGAGCCGTCATATTTCGTCTCATGATCAGTGTATATGGTTCCAACAGTCCCCTGTGTAGACTGAGCATTAGTACTACATTTCACAGCACATTTTGTCTGAAGCCTGTATTATATTTCATAAAAAGGTTATAATTTCTTTTGACATTAGAGGAAACGCTTTTATTTCAGGCGAGGCAGGGTGTCTCCTTTACAAAGTATTGCGGGAAACCTTGACGTAGTTTTACAAAATGGAAGTATTCAAGTTTAATTAAAATGTACTTGCTTCAGTCAACATCATCTTGTTATCCCTCTGAGCCTGCACCTGTACCTCCATAGGCTGGAGTTGTTGATTCAAAGTGAACATAAATTAAAACTGCAGCTGTGTTTAACTGGATTGTTCCATGTTCAGATTCTTAACCTTTTTGTTCTGTCAGATCCAAGGGGCTATCATCGTGTCATCCCTGGTTGAGGTGTGTATTGGAGCGCTGGGTCTGCCTGGAATCCTGCTGAAGTACATCGGACCGCTGACCATTACCCCCACTGTCGCCCTTATCGGCCTGTCTGGTTTCCAGGCCGCAGGGGAGAGGGCTGGAAAACACTGGGGCATTGCTATGCTGTAAGTCTGCACTATTATGCAGTAAAGTGATGCTTTCACCTCACCTACCTACTTCCCGTTACCTACCTACGTCACTGTTCACCTTTATATGTTCGGTATGTTCTGATGATCAGATAATGTTGCAGGAGTGGTGGGACAGGTTTCTGTAACATTTAGATATATATTTTTTGTCACAATGGGGAAACTCAAACCGTCTCATTGTTCTCTCTTGATAAGGAACCACATATATTTTTCACAGCCACGTGTTTCATACACAAAAGGTTTAGATTGTAAAGATAGGATTAGCTCAGATCAACTTCAAAGCTGTGATATGCATGTGGTGTGACATCAGTTCCTGCTGTGTCATGGCTGTTTACACTGTAGCTGGAGGGCCTCTCTTCTCGCTCCACAGGGACAGAGGATATGTGGCTGTAATTGCCACTGATTTGCTCTTTCTGAGGCGGTTATGATAATTGATTGGCTCTGAAGCCTCTGGGGTCCTAGTCGGACGTAGACGTGAGGAAATGGAACATGTTCATACAGAATTAGCTCTCACAGGAGAATTCACAGTAGAGAAAATAATAAGACGTAATAAGACTGTTTCTGTCTGCAGGACTATCTTCTTGGTGCTGCTCTTCTCACAGTATGCCAGAAACGTTCACTTCCCTCTGCCAGTCTACAAGGCCAAGAAAGGCTGGACTTCCTATAGGCTGCAGGTGTTCAAAATGTTCCCTGTAAGTATACAACTTCTTATAAAAGTACAAACATAACACAGCTTTTTACCTTTTGCACAAACTGTGTCTGCACTCCACTTTTTGATTCCTTTTCTTGGTAAATATTCAGCTCTCTTTTAATGAATTGACCTTGGTTTCTTTACAACTGGCCCCCTGCCTCCACCTTAAACTGTGTTCCCATCTAAGTCACAAATTATTCAACAGAGCTAATCTCATTCTCCCTGGGAGGTTAAGAGGTTTTCCCTTTGCGTGCCTCTGTGCAGTCTGTAAATCAGTCTGTTCCTGCCCTCTGCTGGTGATATATGAAATAATAAAAACGCTCATAAATTCACATCAAGTTACCCATCTGTCCCCTCAAAAGGCTTCCCAGTGCTGTTTTGGTTTTCATTAGGTCACGCTTAACTGTAGAAATGCTAACATGCATTTCTTAGCAGCCAACATGCCAGAGCCCTGGAAGCTGATCACATGGTGAAACACTTTTAAACTTCAGTTTTATTATTTATTGTATAGAGTCTGTACAAAGAAACAACACTGAATGTATAAACAAACAAGAACATTACAGCAACACAAGTCTATTACAGATTGCCCGGGCTATCTAAAAGCAGTTATGGATGAGGGCATGTTTTTTTTCCAGATAGGTTGTCTGTATCTACGGCCAGGAGGGAGGAGGGTAAAGCATGAATAATACTGGTTTAATTAAGGTTTAAAGTCAAACAGAAGTTAGAGCATCTCTTTCTTCTTTAATTATGTGACGTATTTCTAATAAGAGTGTAGTCATGAGAGTGAATCTGGTCCCTTACATTTGATTTAATTGATCCGACGTGGTTGAGTAAATATAGTGCGTGATAAGGAGCTTTAGAGAGAGACAGAGCTGTAAAGGACCTCCCTCTCCCACATTGTTAGACCAAGTCAGGCTCTATCCAAACACACGCCTCCGTACTGTGATATTGCTCTGTTAGCTATTACATCTATTAACATATATGTCGATAATTACAACCCACAAGCTAATGCATAACTGTGACTTTGTATATTTATTTAAATAGATAACTTGATGTAAATGCCACCAAGTTCAAGATGAATTCTCAAAAATAATTATAGCAATTTACAGGAAGAGAAAAGAGAGATATTGTAAAAATATTGTGTAACAGAACAAAAGGATGTCGGATTATAACTTGTAAAATGTGTTTATTTCACATTAACGTGAATGTCTGATATGTGTTTTCTTTTCTCTTGCGCCCAGATCATCATGGCCATCCTGGTGTCATGGCTGCTGTGTTTCATTTTTACTGTGACTGATGTTTTCCCGCCGGAGGTAGACAAGTACGGTTTCTACGCCCGCACGGACGCACGTCAAGGAATCCTCGCCGCCGCACCGTGGTTTAAGATCCCATATCCCTGTAAGTGTGGAGCTGTTGGAAAGGATTGTTGATGTTTATGCCTGGTACAGCAGGTAGCCATGTGTGAGGATAGTTAGAAACTAAAAATGAGAAGCAAGAGAAGTTTAAGATTTGATTTGATTAAACTTAACTGTAATTGCACACAGAAAACTTTCCATTTTATGCTTATTTATACTGCTACTCGAAAACATTTAGCTTTTTATTCAAAATCATAACAAAATACAAATCAACTAATAAGTTATGATACATTTTAGGTTAAGATACCCAGCAGTGTATAAAGTAATTAAATTTAGCTCCACCACAGTGATGTACACATACAGTATCATGTATGAATATTTAGTTGTGTAAACAAGTATAAAAATAAAAACTGCCTCTAAATATGGACCACAGATAAACCCTTGCCAGAGGCGATGGGACAGAGAGGATTTGTTTTTAGGATATTTTCTGTGATTTTACCTCTACAGTCCAGTGGGGCGTACCCACTGTAACAGCTGCAGGCGTGATTGGCATGATGAGTGCGGTGGTGGCCAGTATCATCGAATCGATTGGAGATTACTACGCCTGTGCACGTCTCTCTTGTGCCCCTCCACCTCCCATCCACGCCATCAATAGGTAACGCTTCACTTTATCTTGATTCTGTTCTGATTTACTCTAATCTTTCTTTTTTTTTCTGAAGTGACTCACAGGCAATTTACTGTCTGGAGGATGCTTTAATTAGGTTGTTTTTCCGTTCTGTAGGGGGATATTTGTCGAGGGTATTTCCTGTGTGTTGGATGGTCTTTTTGGGACAGGAAATGGCTCCACCTCTTCCAGTCCAAATATAGGGGTCCTGGGAATCACAAAGGTAACACAACCTGTACTCACTCAGTTTGTTTTCTTTGTCCTGCCTTTTGGTTACCGTTTCTACATTTATTTTATTAAAATAATTCAACTACAGCTGAAATGATAAGTCAGATCAGTAAGTAAATTGGCACCTATTTTGAAAAACCACTAATTGGTTGAGTCACTTTTCAATGGCAAACATTTGCTGGTACAAGCTTCTTGAATGTGAGGATTTTCTTGTTTTCCCTTTTTTATATAATTTTAAATTCAATATATTTGGTTTTGGGGCTGTTTGTTGGCAAAATTAGTAATTTGAAAAAGTCACCTCAGGCTCTGGAAAATTGTGGTGATAAAAATGTTCTGACGTTTATTGACAAAACAGTAGGCAGATTAATTGTTAATGAAAATAACATTAAACTCATTAGCCCTTCATACAAACTGTCATTAAGATGGACGTACCAACTGTGAGATGCATCAGTCCTTCTCCATCATGAGTTGGGAGACTTCAGTCATCGTACATAATGATTGGTCTTGTTCATTCAGCTGTTGAGTTAGATTACCGTATACTATGTACTAATTAAGTGTAAATGTGTAACGTCCTCACAATAATCAGCATGTGCTATAAAATAGATGGTTCATTCTTCTTTAATTGTTAAATCAAATATCTGTAGCTTGAGACAAAGTGATGGTTTCTTATATTTTACCCACCATGAAGAAAGAAATGTGTATGATGTCACCTACATTATCCAGCCCTTGTTCTTCCAGTTAGGGTCAGTGGAGAATAAATAGACTTTATTATCTTCTTTGACTCCAGCTGGGCGGTTTCAGGCTTTTAATTTGGCAAACCCTCCTCTTTAACACACAAACGGAGGCTGTAGGTGCTGTAGGGACTGACTCCCTTTACTCCCTCTGATCTCTGATTGGTCTTCCAGGTGGGCAGCAGACGTGTGATTCAGTACGGAGCTGCCATGATGTTGCTGCTAGGGCTTGTGGGTAAATTCAGCGCCCTGTTTGCCTCTCTGCCTGACCCTGTCCTGGGAGCTCTGTTCTGCACCCTGTTTGGTATGATCACAGCGGTGGGGCTGTCCAACCTGCAGTTTGTTGACCTCAACTCCTCCAGGAACCTCTTTGTTCTGGGCTTCTCCATCTTCTTCGGTCTGATGCTGCCGAGCTACCTCAAACAGAACCCGCTGGTCACAGGTGAGTGGAGAGATCCCTATAAACTGCTTTTCTAAATGTGTTTACAATTGACTTGGAATATTTCCTTGTGCCAACTCTTCTTCGCTGCTGCAATAGACTTGGATAGAATTACATTGCTTCAACTAAATGGAATAATTCAGACTCAACTTTCTTTGTTATAAAATAAACACACAGAAAGTATGGAAGTACACACAGTGACTAGTTGTTTTGGGTGATTTGTTGCTGAGGAAATTAATTCACTGATCAAACTAACATGACTCAAATTATGTTGATTAGAGATTTATAATGTTGTTCATAAGTAATTTTCAATACAAACTTAATAAGACATATTTTACTTGCTTACTAAGCCTCCGTTTCTTTATCTTCCTCAGGCATAGTTGGAGTTGACCAAGTGTTGAACGTGCTCCTCACCACTGCCATGTTTGTCGGAGGCTCTGTCGCCTTCATTTTGGACAATACTATTCCAGGTAAGGTGTTTCGGCCAGTGTTTTTTTTTCTCACAAAAACGAATTTCCATCGTGCTATGAAGTGTATGACTGAAATAGATGATAATGTACTGGAAGATTGGTAGAGTATGCAAGACATTTTTATGGAAGAAAACTCATATCACTCATTACGTGGCTGTGACTGCCAAGCAGGTACAGATATAAGTATAAAGGCAGAACGTCCTGAGGGCGGTTGTATATCCAGGAACATCTCAAGACTCCTTCGGGAGAGCTGGGAGAACGATGCTGGGCTGAACTTGCTGGACCCAGATAAGCAACAGAGGATCAAAGGATGAATGATTCTTTAGGATGGCTGGTCCCTTTAAGCGTCTGACTTTCTGTTTCTTTATCTTCAAACGCATCATAACACTGTAGCATCAAAGGAAATGTTTATCATGTTCCTTTACTTTTAAGGATTTTAAGGAACTCTTCCTTTTCTCCTCAGGTTCCCCTGAGGAACGAGGCATCAGGAAGCTGAAACGTGGCGCTGGTGTCAGTGCAGCTGAACTGGAAGGGATGAGATCTTACGATCTGCCGTTTGGAATGGACTTCATCCGCAGACACCCCATCTTCAAGTACATCCCCATCAGCCCCACCTTCCAAGGCTACCAGTGGGGGAGGCTACGGGAGGCCTGCAGGAGCCGCATGGGACATGGGGATGCCATGAAGGGAGGAGGAATGGGAGGGGAGGGAGGCACAGCAGCGGGGGAGAGTCGGGTATAGCCAACGGGCTGGTTCTGAAAAATCTTAAATGTGGCTGAATTTGGGGAGCAAGGGATGGTACACTATGGGAGAGTGGAGGACAGAAGCGGTGCAGGATTCAGGATTGTGTGGACGAAAATGTGATGCACCAAATCCCCCCCCCGCCCGTCCGTCTGTCCGTCAGTCAGTATGTGTTTTCTTTAGCTTGTGTCAGTCTTTTCCCACTTCCCACTATGCTATTTTAAGCATGCTATAGCAAGTCACAGCATGCTATAAAAGATGTCACCATGCAGAGGGTAGTTGAGGTGTGTGTGTGTGTGTGTGTGTGTGTGATATTGAGTTTGTGCATTACTTTTATTTGCACTTTAATCCAGAAGGAGACAGATGGACGTCAAACGATCAAAGCTGATTGTTTGAGTCATAATCACTGTTAACTTTTACTGCCCGTGTCATTTTATAAAACATATTCTACTGAAAGCACAGTAGATTTGATCATGTCAATTGATGGATTATGCAAAATGTCTCCTATGAATCATTTGCCTCTAGACTCATTATGCAACCAAATTAGAGATACACACATGCACGCTCACACACCAACAGCCTTCGCCAAAACTAGCTTGTGCGCTACAATGCACGTCAGGGTCATGCAGATTGATGGAAGTGGTTTGTCAGGTGCCCTTAACCATGCAAAGTGATTGTGAAATTTTATTTTTGCACTAGCTGCCTCCTGAGTTCAAAACCAGAACGTCACAGTTCAGGGTCAGTAAAACTCCTCAGAGACCCATTTAGCAGCATATCACATCCGCTCATCTCACGCTAAAACATGTCACATCCCCCTTGAGTGCTAATATTCACCAGATCTCACTGCAACGTACCAGTTTACATCTCTTTACTGTGTCAGTATTATGCAGTAGTGACTAAGAAGACCAAAACTCTACTTTTCCTGAACACACCCATGTCTCATTTGGCAGTCAAATGGGACTTGCCTTGTTTTACTTTATTCTGGACAGAATTCATTTTCATAGATTTGGAGACTTTTAAGATATTTATTTTTATTTGATAACCTCTAATCTCTTCTAACACATGCAGGCACTTACACAACAAAAACAAGCTTTTCAGTCATGTCCCTACTGCCGTGACAACCGCAGTGCATTTGCAAAAGCTGCATTAGTGGCACACAGTAACACAGACATGTGGCCTTTCAGAGGGACTTTGTGTGTATAAATACAAGGCTTAAAAAAGATGGATGACAACAGGAGACTCTGATACTCTCTGTGGATCTTCTCTCACAGTTTTAAGGTGTCACTTGTGCTCTGCTTTTAGCACTTATGTGTATTAATGTAGGGTTTACAAAGGCTGCACCATAGAATAATACACCCCTGCCACTATCCAAACCCATATTGCTGTCTCTTGCATAAATGTACTAAGAAGTAAGGGTTATTTGCATATGGAGGATTTATGGAGGATTTAAATGAAATAAGAGGGGTTTGGAGAGTGTAAATGTTGTCCTCTCAGATGGTGCAGTTTGTGTGTGTTTTTACAACAGCCAATCATGACTGATCAAGATTTCATTAACCCTTTAAACTTATTAAATGGTGTTAATGACTTTTCCTTACATTCCTCCTCCTCCCACTCTCAGTCACCCGTATGCCTGCCACTCTCGCCCACTTCAGTTAGTTAACTGTGGATGTTTGTTACTGTACATCAGGCTGTAGCAGCACATTTGGCTGAGTGACTGAACGTTTCAGAGTGTCGGCAGCCTGTACCTTATTGACCTAGGTGTGACCATGAAGAGTGAGTCTCTAATTTGACCACACTGTGTGCCTCTGGTATTTTAATTGAAAAACAGACATTTAATAATACCATAAAAGAGTCTGCAACATTATAATCTTCGTAAATGTAGGACTGAAAAGCAGCACAATGAGAATTTAAACTAAACTACTAAACATTTAGCCTGATCTGAGATTTTTACTAAACCAAAATGCTAAAAGCTTTTATTTTATTCTTACTGTCCTGTTACCAAAACTTTTCTTAAGCATTGGCAGTTGTTGCTTTTAAGAAACTTGCAAAATTAGTTTGAAATCTCATCCCAACATTTCTCACATTTTTATCTCTTGTTAAAGCTATTTATTTGTTATTTATTGCTTTAAGCAGGTTTATAGCTGGTTTACATGTGTCTTGCACAATGTTGAAAGTATATTTATTAGTTTACATATTCATGCCCTGTAAAGGCTGGTGTGATGATGATTGACCGCTTCTCCTCCGCTCTCCGCCTCAGCTACAGTGTCTGTGCTTTTAGAAACTCACCTGGGGGACAGCAGCTTTTTCTAAAGTTTCTAATGTAAGACGTAAGCTGCTTCTATTTCATTCCATTTATATCATATTGTTTTTAGAGAAAACACTTTCAACTAATTCAGATGTCTGAGTGAGGGCCTTTGTACTACAAGTACTGTTTGCACATGTAATGGTGCCAAGGACATCAGGGTCAGAGTGAGTAAATCACTCAGCGGAAACCCTAAAACGTCACTAGAGTGCTTATCCAGATTTATAGAGTATGAACATTTTTGTTTGATGACCTGAAGACTCTGTACCACTTTCTGAATTAATATTTTTGGGCCTTTATGATAGCACGTCTAGCCGTGTCAACGTGTGTTATTCTTGTGATTCGATGGTGGGAAAGTCAGCATATTTTGTACTTGTTATCCAGAGGTGGGTTGTATATTCAAAGATCTTACAGATGTCTGCCCAGAATGATAAAACGTTTTCTAAAGACGAAACCAAATACAATATTTCCAAAGACTGTGGTGCTCCACTCTGCTCCTCTACTGGCTAACCTATAGTTCTGTAGTGGCAGGGACCAATGTTGCCCCAAAAGCTGTGACCCGAATAGGAATTTCTTGCTATATTGCCACTGAAATCACAGCTATCAAAATGTGTGATGTGCCTAAATACTATGGAGGCACCATTCACCTGTAATAAAAACATTTGCAGTTGTAAAATAGATTAAATTTCTTATCAAGTCACATAATCTGATGGTGTAACACTGGAAGAGTCTGTGGAAATGTAGGATTTAAACGTTGGTCTCATGAAATATTTTAACATTCTGACTGTATACGTCTGTGACCGTGACGGAGAAACACAAGGAGTGGTTGGTGACCACTGATCACCATCCTTCATCTAAATGTTGTCTGAGCTGGGGACTGGCAGCAGGAGAGCTGTAGATAAGAAGCAATGTTGGTAAAATTAACAGTGCAGTTATTGACACACCGACTGATGTTTTTGGCTTCGTCGCCCCGACGCTGTGTGACCTCGCTCCGGGAGCACATGACGATCGAGGTCAGAGAGCAGTCGCCACCTCTCGCATCTGCTCTCTTAGACGGGGAGTAAATGGAGGGTGGTTGGGCAGTTTTTGTTGGGCCTCTTGTAGTGAATTCTGTAGTACATGGCATGCACACCTAATTATCACATGTACAACGTGTGAAACTTGTTTTCTGTGTCATATCATGTTCATGCAACCAGCACTTAATTCTCCCATCGTATCCTCTCTCCTCTCTCCACACACTCTCTGTTTAACCCCCTCCACCCCCTAGTCCTGCAGTGAAAATATATTGGTGTCCTCTCATATTAAGTGTACCTGGTTTTTCTCCCTGGGAATTCTTACTGTTGATGTTTCTGGATGCAGGAGAAGACACCGGCTGGCCACCTTATTAAGAGCCCGGGTTGTTGGCAGCTCAGTGAAACCTGCCTTATCACTTAATGGCAAGATGAGCATGACTTTGTGTCTAAAGACAGGTTCTTCTTCTGGATTTTAAACATTTACCCTCCACTTTGTATTGTACTGTTCTCTCTTATTTGAGAGTTTTACACACTTGTTTCTCACATAGCTGTTACAGAATTAGCCCATTTTAAAGTAAAAACACTTTGACAAGCCCAAACTCTCTTCCTTAGTGAGTTGAATTAAATACAGTTTAACCAACCAGGTGGCTCTTAAGAAGGTGGCCATAAGGTGTGTAACACATAGACATCAATCCCTTTCAGTTATTTTGAAGGGGGTGCTACCTGAATAATATACTTTTGTGTATTAAGTGTTTTATCTTTTTCAATGTTTTTATTTTTATTTTATATATATATTGTTTTAATTTTTTTGCAAGCAAATATTTGTAAGAAACAAATCATAACTTTTAATCTTAAATCATGCTGGAAAGCGCACCATTTTGTTGTACTTTTTATTTAAAAAGTAAATACCTTTTAATCCTGTTTTGAATCTGTGGTTTGGTGGAATCCTTTTGTTTGTTTGTTTGTTTGTTTGTTAGGACCTTTTCACATTGTATTTTTTTACTCTAACATTGCTTTCTGTTCATGTTAACACATTACCAGTATAAATGAAAGAATGAGCTGAGAAACTTTAAATAGATGTAAAAAATAAAAAATAAATGTATATTTAATGGAGTAAAGTTTGCTAAATCTTCTGGAAGAGAAATTGTGTAAACTAATTGTAGCAACAAAATGTTTTATTCTTTGTTCCTAAAACTATTTAATAAGATGTTACAGAATTAATACAGTCTTTTGTCTTCATTGGTCACCAACCGTGATTGTGACAATAAAACTGAAATATGGCCCCGGTCAGATCCTGTGACCGTTTGATTTAACTCTAATAAAAAGACTAATGGGTTAATATTGATGTGCTGGATAGGAAGATCTAAACACTGACTGTCAGTTTCTTCTATCACAGCTATGTGTTACTCTTCCTCTTGCATTAACATCACCTTATTTGATTGGTTATAGCAGGCCTGTGTAACCATGGTAAAATCATTATCACTACCAATATATCTTACATATCAGATCACAGAACACACTAAAGTAAAGGACATGAGGCCGCTATTGATCAAACACAGGTGGGTAGATGTAGCCAAGCCAGTAGTTTATAGATAAATATAAAGATCATATGAACGGCCTTATTGTGCAGCGAAAGATGGATTACAAACCAGGTAAAATGGCAGCTTCCCCAGTTCCCTGTTTGGCAGTTGGTTTGTGGTAATGTGATTAATTTATAATGTAGTATTATGTAGAATATGCACTACAAATACAATATCAGCTAACACACTAAGGGCCTTGAGGTGAGTCCTGCTTTCTACCAGTAGGCTCTTGTAAAGGGGCTCCCTCTCTTTACGGGGTTTTAGTGGCCCTACACATCATGTTTGCAGCTATTTCATAGTAAGTCACTGTAAACTCAGTTTTAGTAAAGACTGGGGTAATCGTCTACCTACAGATAATTTATCATTATAGTTTGTAACATTTCAACAGCTTCACTTTGTCTGTCGAGTATATGTGACAACTGATGAACAGACCCTAACCAAGATAAGTTTTTTTTGTGTCTAAACCTGAATCCCAGTGGTGTAATATCAGAAAACAGTTGTTGAATCTCAACTAATTAGTTGCTGAAATGTTACAAATAATACTCTCTGAACTATCTGCAGCTGGGCTATCCATATAAAGTTTAATTTGGTTAAATATTAGGGCTGCAACTAACAATTTCTGTCATTAAAATTACCCACAGCCCAATATGATGTCCTCAAATTCCTTGTTTTATCCAACTATCCAAAACATATTTACCATCATATACATGTGATTAGAACAACAACATTTGGTCTGAAAAGGGACAGAAACCATAAATCGATTAGCAAAAGTTACTGATTCATTTTCTTTCGACAATGTTGCAGCTCTTTTAAATGTGTTTTACAAACGACATCCCACTGTATGTTTTATGTCCGGCTGTTAAACTGCAGCAAGATTTTTAAATTTAGTTTTGTTTTCCCACCGTCGTAGAATCCCATTTCCATCTGTAAAAAACAAACAAACACAATAGCAAGTCAAGCTGGTGTCAAAATAATATTTTGTAATCAAATAAATAACTCAGAATTATATTATTACATAAAATAATTGCCACAATACTCACAAATACTTACTTATACTTACTAAAATTCCCGCCTTCTTTCATTTTTATAAAGAGCCTACATAAAATCTGTTATAGTTATTCGGTAAATCAGTAAATTTGGTTTCTATTGAAGAGTAATGCCCGCCTTCCCCGGACGGACGTTGTGCGCATGTGCGGCTCTCCTATTGTTGTCGTGTTTTCATTCATCTCCGAACGCAGCGCGAACAAAGGCGCGTCAGGGCTCGCTCTCTGATTGGCTCCCTGCCGGGGCCCGCTGACGCTGCTGTGCCGCGAGCTCCGCCACAACAGATGGATCTCTCGCGCTCTCCCTCTACCAGCTACTGGACGCACGCGCCCCAGTGATTGTCTCCAACGGCCAGGAGAGCGAGCGAGTTGACCGGAGGAGTTTACCGTTAACGGACGGTTGAACCGCAGCAACGGGAAGAAGAGGGAGGAAGGAGGAGGAAGGAGGAGGAAGAGGAGAACCAGGAGAGCCAGGAGAGCCAGCCGCGTCCCCGGGTTTGGTGAGCCGGAATAGGGTCTCCAAAAGTCGGCAGCGTCGATGTAGCTCAGTGGGCAGATCGTGATGTCTGTGGGTTGATGTGGCGATACGGACTGGGTGTAGTTTGAGAGCCTTCAACACACTTACACAGGTTTTGACAACATAAAATGCTAAACAGCAACATTTATTTATATTTTTAACAGATTAATAATCTCGAATCTCATATGTGGCGTGTTTATATATATATATATATTTATATATATATATATAACGTTATATTCAGTGATAATAGGTTTGCCCCATAGCACTTTAACGTGATGGTGCAACCTAAATGTTGAGCATAAAATCTGGATATTATTAACGTATCTCATCACATTTGGTCTCTACCAGGGAGTGTGTGTGAGTAAAACAGGTTACATAACAAGCAGTAGATAGTTAAGATTCCTCTCAGCACACATAAGGCTGGCTAGACAGAGGCAGGGCATCAGGACAGAGACCCTCTGCCTAAATAAAGTGAATACCTAATGTTTAGGCTTTATTAAGTACACTTAGATAAAAGTACTGTAAGTCCTGCCTTCACAGATCTTATGATACGCTTTATAGAGGGTTTGATTACAATGTGTGGTCATTTTCTGATATTTAGTCTCTAAAACAATACAAATAAATGATCATAAAGTTTAATCAACACCCCTAAAATCATGAACTGAACATTATAAGAAGGATTTTACCACGGCTGCATGACAACATATTGTGATATGATTCATGATTAGTGTGGGAATGATAATTTTGTATTACAAATTTAAATCATGATGATACGAACTTCATTTGGGTCAAATATGTTTTCATAAATCTGGAGAACAAGATTTGTAGGCCAGTGTATCTCTTGCGCTCTCTGAAGTACCAAAGTACTTCATTATATTGATGTTTACATTTTGCACTTGGCTTTATTGTGATTTTAATGATTTTTCTATTAATTGTGCAGCATTGGCTGTAACTGAGTGTAAAATATCCAGTCAACTAGAGCTGCAGCTACTAACTACCAGCTAGTTAGTTAGTTAGTTAGTTAGTAGTCACGTTCAAAAAGCTTGAACCAACGATTTCATTCCAGTTTTTGCTTGAAAAATAACTCTAATGATGAATCGATTATCAAAATAGTCGCAGCTACATTTCTTGTGGATGCATTGCTCCAGCTCTGCAATCAAAGGGGGCGAGAATAGTTTCAGCTTGATCTTGAGAATCTGGAAACCATATGTAGATTCGAGTCGAGCCTTGCAACATTTTTGACAACCCCAGTGTGCCTAACAAGGAGCAGGAGACGCAAACACACTATTTTTGGCTCAGTGTTGTGGGGCTAGTTGCTGGAGCTCAGATGTTTTTGGTGTTGCTATGACAATTTTGACAATAGTGAGGCAGAGCATTAGTAATGTGGAGGCTGAGGGTGGTGGCGGTGGTGGATTTGAAAGCGAACAGGAGGAGGTTTGGAGCTATTCATCGTCCATTTAAGCCAAAGACTTTGACAGAGGAGGTTCAGAGGCAACAAGGGCAAGAGGGCAGAAAACAAGCGTGCATGTGTGTCAATGAAAGAGAGAGAGTGGGGGGGAGAAAAGTCAGGAAGTTGTGGTCATGAGTTTTAATGGCACACTTGATGGCTTCTGGTCTTTCACAAGGGGGACACGAAGGAGAAAGCTGAATGGGAAAAACAGACAGCAGAGAGAAAAGAATTTGAACGGCTACTAATAAAGTTAGTGTGATACGAAACAACTGAGCAGATGATGAAGAATAAGACATCAAGATACAGAGACAGAGGAGAACTGAGGTTTGGCTGATGTTGTAATGAGGCAGAGGGGATACATTTAGATGGTTGTCCAGCACAGAGAAGAGCTGATCTGAGTCAGGACTGGGTCAACTGTGGGTCCGTCTGGATGCTTTTAAATTCTGCTTTTACCTCCAAAATAAAAAGCGCAGGCAGCTTTCTGCAGTGTGACGTAAATCTTTATTTAGAGTGCATCCATGTCACACAGATAATTTCCACAGAGACGAGGTCCTCAACAACAGCTATCACTGCTTCGTAATTTTATACATTTTATAGACTCTGAACATGGTGAACAAAAGGTCAAGTAGAAGTGTATGAGTTGATGTTGCTTTATTAAAGCTGTGTAGGGTTGCATTGGAGGGATTTTAACTCATGACCTTTGTATTTCTAAAACTGTGGTTATGTTCCTGGAACCGAGTATTGAACCTGAATACTTTTTGGGTATCATGTTACCGAGTATTGGCATCAAATGTCTGTTCAGATTCATAGTCTTCATCAGATAGTTTCAAGTCATATGTTGTTTTTTTACCCACATTTTCTTTCTTTTATGTTAATAAAAAACATGTTAATACATTTTCATACATAATTTGAACTTTAAAAGTCATTATTATTATTAAAGTATCATATTGGCCCTAGTATTGATTTCTTTCTTTAAACAATAAACAATAAATAATCTTCTTATTAGGAATAAACCTGCCACCTGCATTAACTGTCCATAGCTAAATATGGTCAGCCTACGTTACTGTATTTTAACCTTGGTCATAATGGTGGAGAGGCTAAAATTTTCTGAGGTGATGTAAAATGTTTGAGAAACCCTTTACAAAATCAGTGTCGCAGTGAGATATCTCCCAGCTCTGTCCTCTGAGATCTTGAGCTGAAGAAATCCCTATAAATACACCCATCAAGCCTAAAAAGTGGATGTTTCTGCAAACCTTTCACCAACAGCAAACACTTAACAGGGTACAAACTTATCACAAGAGTAAATGATACTCTAGCAGCCGCTTTAAAGGTTAAATGTCCGATTTGATCTTTATCTTCAGTAACATCAAGGAGGGATCAATTTTGTAATCTGATGACAATTTAGTTGACTTAAAGTTCACGTTGGTCTTGTGACTTGCCAGACAATTACAACATTGTCTTGGTCTGACAGCTGGCCACATGTCTGTCTCAGACCACTGGCATCACCCGCTAATGAGTCCAGGAGCAAAGCTGCCCTTGACCACGGCCGCAGTATTAAAGACTAATGATTTCCATTGTGTAGGTGAATGGTTAGCGTTTGAGCGTTTGACATGACTAATAATAGGTGATGAAATATTGATAGACCTTGGCAGCGGGCTTGGCTGATTGGTGTTTAATATTTAATTTGTGCACAATAACTCAACACATTTATTTCAGAGATTGACAGCCTCAGGTTTTCCTATTTATCAGTACTGTGTGTTTAAAGCTGCTATATAACTCTGCTTGTCAGCTTTTGAATACCTCTGTTTACAGTACGTTTCGATATGTGTCTGATCTGAGCCCTTAGATCAGGGAAGAGGAAAAGGGGAAGGCAGCGTATGTGTGGGTCTTATCAGTATTTCTGCCCATGCTCTTTGTTTGGATGTGCATGATAATTCATTTGTGAATTGAGGAAGTTTTGGGCTGTGTAAAGGCTAGTGTCAGTTTCCTGTGTGACTGAAGGAGGAAGTGATATAACGGAAGGGGAGCACTTCCTTTAAATGCCTCCACTCTTCCCCGAGTATTCGCTATCACACTCACAAGAAAAGACCCTGAAGGAGCTGACACCTGAGTGACAAAACTGCTAATACCTGAGGATAGATACAGTCGACCTGCCTAACCTTTCGTTCTCTCTTTCTCTCCATATCTGCAGCTCCCTCTCTCTCTCGTGACTCAACGAGATCAGTCTTTACTACGGTAAGATCACTTGTAGTCTTGTATCTGACATTTATACTACTTACTTTCAGTTGTATTATTTGTTGTGTGTTATAAAGGCTCTGTGTTATAATAGAGTAACATGGAAGGAAACAATGCTTTCTACTAATGAATAGTACGTTGATTTCTCAAAGCCACATTATTGTGGTGAATCAGTGAAATCTGTAACAGTAATATAAACTGAACTTGTGATTGCTCACGTTGATGGATTACATAGCATACACAAGTTTCAATGGTCTGCTAATTTATTTTAATATAATACTGAAATGAATGGAAGCCAATGGTTGCCTTGAATTGTATCACCTGCTAAACATCAGGCGTCTGACGGTAATATTTAGCACGGTTGCCATTTTAGTTTTAGCCTGTTAGCATGCTAACATTCACAGGTTAGCACTAAACACAAAGTACAGCTGAGGCAGATGTATGGCACTAGTTTTGCATGTTTTCGGTCATAAACCAAAGTGCTTGTTTTAATTTTAAACAGATATCAAACTGGTAGTGGTCTTTATTCTAACTGCGGTCAGGTGAGGGGCTGATGGCTCCTAGGGTTGGAGGTTGAACTAGAAGAGAGGAGATGGCGTGGACTGGAGAAGGGACAGATGGAGGGCAGGGACATAGGCGATGACCCACAAGCTTTAAACAACAATCTGGGGATGAGTGGTTGCAGAGCCGGGCTAGATATACTGCAGGTTGATGGCATGATGAGAGCCAGGTGAGCCAACGGGAGGGATGATGAGCTGATTGAGACCAGGTGTGTAACTGGGAGTCAGAGGAGAGAGGAAGAGGTGGTCATGGCCACGACAACAGACTACAGACAAACCCAAACACACAGAGAGACAGATTGGGAGACACTAGGAACACACTGAAGTACTGTCACAACCGTAAAAGTACTGGACAAAGTGAAATTTTGAGTGGATGACTGAGGAAACGTCAGGGGTCACCAAATTGATTAGGATGTATTGTCTGGGAAAATGAATGGGAAAATGAATGGGAAAATGTTGTGCCAATCCGTCCAGTGGTTGTTGAGATGTTTCACTGGATAAATTAAATATTTATGGGACAATCAGAAGCCTAAACTAAAGTCATTAGGACTTGTCCTCTACACCTTGAGCATCTGTACACAATGTCTTAGAAATACATCCGATACTTGCTGAGATATTTCAATAAAAAGAAAAAATGTCACCTTCCCAGTAGGATTTATTATCTGGGGACCATGAAAGTGGGGGACAGTGATATTGCCATCTTAAAACTCCCAAACTGCAAAACCGACATTCGAAAATGGTCTATAAAAATGTTCATTGTTTGTAGGGTAGGAGCTAAACTTACAAACACTTATTGGTGTCGTCCTTTTTAAAATTGTCTAACAACAAAACAAGATTAATTTCAGTCATCCAGGGAATAAAATGTCCACTCGTGTTTCTAGAGATGAATCCTCCTGTGGGTTTAATTTTAGAGACGGAGAGACTGCTTGTATATATGTACACACACAAATATGACAGATAAGTATATAATGTGTGCTGCCAGTAGCTTGCTCAGGGATGAATGTTTAAGCAGCTGAAATGATTTGGCTCTGCGGGTGGCCCATGTGTCCTGCACCTGTTCGTCTCCTTCCGGAGGCCTTCTGTGCTGCCTCCTCCGCAGATACACAAAGACAAACATACACACTCATTCAGCAAGGAGGGAAGGAAAACGATGGCCGAGTGCCATTTTAAACAGCTGCATGTGTGCGCACTTGCGTGTGTTTTGGAGTGTTTATGTGTAAAAGAGCGACATAGACATGAGGAGAGAATTAAAAGGGGTGACAGGAAAGCAAAGACTCTCTTCCTCCTCTTGTAGGCATGAGGAGGAGGAGGAGAGTGTGGAGAGCAGCTGTCACACTTCATCAGAGACCAAACGTTTTGATTGTGTAGTGAGAGATACACTAGTGGTGGTTTAACTGATAACTATGAGTTGATCTGTCTTTTGAAGGAAATACATCGACGGGAAGTAGATATGATCTGCTGTTTATTGTTTTACTCTGTGGAGCTGTACCTCCTCCTCTTCCTGCAATCACTTGTCTGTTGCTCGTTGCTGGTCATGAGGAGTCATGAGACTGAATCCGATGGATGAAAATTATTAACTCTCTGTGTTGCTTCTTTGTCTCTCAGCTCCTCTCATGCTTACTGAGAATGGATGACACACAGTACGGGGTTCAGATTGGAGAGAACAAATTCATCAGCAAGTAAGGACCAAACACCACACCGTTTCTCACATGAGAATACATATACACACATATACACATTTATTTTTTTTATATATATATATATATATATATATATATATATAATGTTCATGTGAAATAGTTGGACATGTTGTGATTTTAAACTCATGTCAAACAGTCTGACTTGTTAAGCTCTTAGTATGTTTGTGGTTTAAAATAACTGTGTGAAATAGAGATTTTACAGGTTTTAGTCTTTGTTTTAGTTTGTTTTTCCGAGCTTGTGCGTAGTTTACTTTACTGCTCTGCCGACCATTTTCCAAGCATACGTACATTTAATGAGTTATAGATTAATTGGTTGATTTACATATTATGTACAATAAGTAGCTGACTTATGTATAAGTAAGTACCACACTGTTTCCAAGGCAGTATTTTATATCAAGAATCACAAATTTACCTCGAGACTTAACAATCTGTACAACATACAGTGTCAGAGCACAACGCTTATAGCAGGGGGGCACCAAATTACTGGCAAGTGGCAACTTAGTCGTGCACAGTAAAGGTGAAATCAAGTGAAAACCCCTCTGCTTTCACAGAGTACTTCAGCTGTTCACTCCTCTGGTACAAGGCAGTAAACTTACTCCCTAACAGGATCATGGTCTTCTAAATCACCACAGTGGTGTCAGGCTCAACAGCACCGTCAGCAGGATGTAGCATTAAGTGGACTAGTTGTTGCTGGTGACGCTGACAGCGTCCTAAATGGCTCAAAAAAGGTTGTAAAATTGTTGCGGTTGAGCCGGTCAACCACTTTCTCAAATACATGGCTGCGAATGGGATAGAAATATTATAACATAGCTACGTTAAACTGTCCTATACCCAATGACAAAGTTTTAGTTAAATTGTAATATAACAGCATTCTAGTTTTACGATGGATTTAAGTTTACTACAGTCAGGAGAGAAAACTTTGACAGTTTACGCCCTCCTCTATCGAGTTGAATAAGTAAAAACTCTCCAAAAAAACCTTTAACCATTAAATTAAAAAGAAACCTCAGGAAGAGCGACAGAGGAGTAAGTCATAATATTTAGACACACAGATCAACACATTTAAATAAACGTTAATTAAAGTTAACTAAACATCTCATTAAAACCGAAGTATCCCCTTTTAAAAAGCCAACTCAACATCTAGCTCTTGTTACTAGTTTCAGTTTGGACAAAAGCATCTGCAAAATGAATCATATGTAGTAACAAAATTTGTTATATTAAGTTTTTCTTCTACATATATGAAGACTTTGGTGCCCAGTTACTGTCTATGTACAACAGTGGAACAGAGTTTATTGCTTTATAGGTCATTTTACATATGATTTTACACACGTCATATTGTTATATACTCTACATCGATATCAGAAAGTATCCTTACTAACATTGTGCTGATAATGCATTGTACAATAATACATTATATAATAAATGATATAATACATTATCACTGAGCCCCAAATAAACATTGATATAAGGATATGAACCGTTAGCTAAGTGGAAGTCCAGTCTGTGATGTTTAACCCTTGAACATTTCTAACAGTCTCAGCTTTATTGCCAAGTAATGATAATGTAAATGACAAAAATCTGACAAAGCGATACGGCCTCTGTGATTAATTTTATTATTATTATTATAGCTTTAACTTAATCAGGTAGTCTCAGAGAGATCCAGATCTATTTCACAAGAGGGGTCTCAGTACAGCAGTAGAAATACAGGCACAAACAAACAGCATCAGAAACAAACAAAGGCAGGAGGACATCAATCTGACCTCCTCACAATGGTCCGCAGTAATGTGAAGTATACATGTCTTGGAGTTAGTGGGATAAAAACATATGTAATGAGCAGCGTGCTCCTTTTAAACAGCATTTCCTCCTCAGTGATTCAACATCTCTTTCTCCAGGGTAACAGTCCTTTCACAACTTAAGACGTACAACCTCTACTATGAAGGACAGAATCTACAGCTCAGACACAGAGAAGTGAGTAGTTACAGCTGTCTGTATCTCTCTGTGTGTGTGTGTGTGTGTGTGTGCGTGTGTCTGTCTGTGTGTGTCTGTGTGTGTGTGTGTGTGTCTGTGTGTGTGTGTGTGTGTGTCTGTGTGTTTACTGTTATTTTTATGTTTTATCCTCCTTTTCAACAGCAGCATCTGAATATTTCCACTCTTCAACACTGTCTGTCTTCCTGTCGCCCTTTTTACTTTGTCTCTCAGTCATTTGCAATCTAATATACCCTGCCCATTATACGGTGTATCCCAAAGGAGTAATAACTGTCCATTGTGTGCATTTATATATATATGTGTGTGTGTGTGGGTGTGTGCATTGATCACAGCTCCTCTCTCTCAACAGGAAGAGGGGGAGCTGATCATCGAGGGCTTGCTGAATATCTTTTGGGGCCTTCGGCGACCAATCAGACTTCAGATGCAGGATGACCACGAGCGAATCCGGCCGCCCCCTTCCTCTACGTCCTGGCACTCCGGTTGCAATCTGGACAGTCAAGGGTAAGAGGTCCAGACAGATCTAGTTACACCTTGCTGACCGGAAATGGTGATACACTGTAAGTCAGCGAGGGCAGATATAGATTTTGTCTTGTTTGTCTGATTGAAAATCAGATAAATTAAATTCTTGTCATCACTTTTTGTCGATGTTTGGTTACATTACTTGATAATGTAATTCCATACAACAAAAACATTATTGCTAAATCTTTGAAACACCAAATTAGCCATCTTTCAACCGACAACTCGGGCTCAGTCTTGGATTTTGCCCCAAGATCACAGATATCCCATTCTTCAGAAGAGGCTATTCTTTCAGGGATAGTCGAGCTCACAGGCATACAGCTGGGTGTTTATATATAAATAACTTACAGGAAATAGACAAAATAACATAAACACTTTCATTATGTTGGATGCCAGTTGCAAGTTTAATAATTCATACTTATATTGTTGGTACATTAGTCCAAAATTACTTAAAAAATCAAAGGAAATACTGACAGTTCATCTCAAACAGAGATAAACTGCATCAACAAAGAGGAACAGCTCTCACAAGTTGAAACTAACCACCAGGGATGTGACGTACAGACAGATGTGGTGTGGTTAACAAACTGCTGCTATCGGCAGGAAATCTAATAATAAACTTACCTTTTTATTAGTGTTGACATTATTACTTAATGTACTGTACAGTAACTCCTTTCACTAGTGTCAGTAACGTATTAACAGTTTGTATCTACATAACATTTTCAGCTGTACATTGATAGTGTCTTCGCCTCTTACACCGTACTGTCTTGTTTTCTTTTTGAAGTTCTCCCAACAGCACAGATGGTCAGCAGGAGACACAGCAGACCCCGCCCACAGTGGAAGTGACGCCACCTGACAACCAACTAGAGGACAATGGTGTGATGGAGGAACAGGCAGACGGTTAGTGGCTTTACTGACTGTATGTAGTCGTAACACACTGGGTATTACTCCCTTGGCTATAATGAGGATCCAGTGAACAGCATCATAAATCAGTCCCAACACAACTGAATTCCTAAATAATACGGTTTTATTTGTGTTGTCTTATCAGTTGCCAAGATAAAAAAACATTGCATTAGGTCAAGAAGATTTAATTCACTTAGCTCTGAAAACACTGTAGACCAAATCTCTAATTAACTCTCAGCTGCTTTATTATAAGCATCACATCACTGCTGGGTGGAAACCTCTCATCTCCAAAATGGCAACCTCTCATGAGGAAGGAATTCAACCTTATTATTTTTTCCACCCTTAGAGGAGTATACTGTACAATTCCACTTGTACACACTGTGATTACAAGGTTTGTATCTTACAATGGTGATTATAAAATAAAACTTTTAAACAGGTGATGTTTACTTTCATTATGTCTGTGTGACTAATTTTAGTGTTATATCTATTTTAAGAACTAAGCATAAAAATATGACTCAGGAATAGTAATTTATTTGTTTTTAATTTAAAGATAAGTCAACATTTCTGTTCAATGTTCAATATGTAGAAATTGGAAGTAAATTTATTACAGCTTCTGGCAGACAGTGACACATTCTCAAAGGGAAATATGAAATATAAAATTACAGATTTCTATTCTGTTAGTACACAACTCAACAAAATATAGATATCTAGATCGAGGCAGTCAGCCACCCACCTAGAGCCGTCGCCAAGTGCTTGCTCATGGTGGTACTGTTGGGTCTCTGTAAATAATGTGATAAGGAGTTCGGTCTAGACCTGCTCTATTTGAAAAGTGTCCTGAGATAACTTCTGTTATGAATTGGCTCTATACAAATAACATTGAATTGAATTGAATAACATAATATACACTGATCAGCCATAACATTGTGAGCACTGACAGGTGAAGTAATAACACTGATTATCTGGTTATCAGGGCTCCAGTCAGTGAGTGGGATATATTAGGCAGCAAGAGAACATTTTGTCCTCAAAGTTGATGTGTTTAGAAGCAGGAAAAATGAGCAGCATGAGGATCTGAGCGACTTTGACAAAGGGCCAAATTGTGATGGCTAGTAGACTCTGTCAGAGCATCTCCAAACCTGCAGCTCTTGTGGGTTGTTCCCGGTCTATAGTGGTCAGTATCTATCAAAAGTGGTCCAAGGAAGTAAAAGAACTGGAGACAGGGTCATGGCTTATTGATGCACGTGGGGAGTGAAGGCTGACCCGTGTGGTCCGATCCAACAGACGAGCTACTGTAGCTCAAACTGCTGAAACAGTTAATACTGGTTCTGATAGAAAGACGTCAGAAACACACAGTTCATCACAGTCTGGTTCTGGGGCTGCAGAACATTATTATATTATTGGTGTTAATGTTATGGCTGATGAGTGTAGGTCTAGTGTTTATAGACATACAGCTTTAATATTAAAGGATAATAGCTAATAATCTGATTGATTCGACAGAGGACAGTGACAGCTCCGCTCAGCTCCTCAGGACGAAGAGCGATGCCGGGGTCTTGAGACGAGGCCAGCGACGGTCACCGAGCGACCAGAGGAAAATTCGACGCCATCGTTTTTCCATCAACGGACACTTCTACAACCATAAGGTGATACCAGCCACAAGTGTTTGTCAGCGCACCCATAAAAAGTCTTTCTGTCTGTAGTTTCAGAGAGTTTATTTAGTACTTTTAGCACGTTGATTACAAATAACAAGAAACACTGATTCACAATGACCCATCCATCCATGCACACATAAAGTGACAGTATATAGGAAACTGAATTTATGTTTTAATGTTTGTTTTTTTTCTCAGACAGCAGTGTTTACTCCTTCTTACGGCTCAGTGACTAATGTTCGGATCAACAGCTGCATGACGACGCCTCAGGTGCTCCGAGTTCTCCTCAACAAGTTTAAAATTGAAAACAGCCCAGATGAGTTTGCAATCTACCTAGTCCATGCAAGTGGAGGTGAGTGAATTATTCCCTGTGTGTGTGTGTGTGTGTGTGTGTGTGTGTGTGTGTGTGTGTGTGTGTGTGTGTGTGTGTAGTCCAGTTTGTAACATTTAGGAGGATCTATTGGCAGAAATGGAATATAATATTCATAAGTATGTTTTTGTAAGTGTATAATCGCCTGAATATAGGAATCGTGAATATAAGAATCGTGTTGTTTTCGTTACCTTAGAATGAGACGTTTGGAGTCCGCCATGTTAAACCTCCATGTTTCTACATTACTAGGAACAGACAAACCAAACACTGGCAGTAGATGGAGACTTTCACGTCATTCCCAGGTCGTCACATTATGACATGAGCGGTGTCCTACACACTGGTTCTTTAATAAATATCTTTGTGGATGTGTTGATGTTTCAGAGCGTGTGAAACTGAAGCGAAGTGACTACCCTCTGATATTGAGAGTGATGCAGGGTCCGTGTGAGCAGGTCTGCAAGATTTTCCTCATGGAAGAAGACCTGGGAGAAGAAGTCACATATGATGTAAATGACCACTTCCTACTTCCTGTTCCCTACAGCGTGCAGCCACAAAATCCCTGCCTGTGTTTCAAATATCCTTTTATTTATCTCACATTGGTCTCTCTCTCTCTCTTTTGTGCTTTGTCATTACATGTCTCTTCCCTTCCACCAGGTGGCGCAGTATATCAAGTTTGAAATGCCTGTCCTGCGGAGTTTCATCACCAAACTGAAGGAGGAAGAGGACAGAGAGGTGCAGAAACTCAGGAGAAGGTACGAGAAAATACTGTTTATAATCTACTTCCCTTCATCATCCACAGTCGTCAACATGTTCATCCGCTGTTATGAGCTTACACATGGTCATTACATAGTATTGTTATTATTATCTAATGTATATTTGCAGGCCCAGACATTTATTCTCTCTCGTACTTGCAGGTATACTTACCTGCGTTGTATAATTGAGAAGCAGCTCAGTTGTCTTCCAGAGGGGGCGACGTGTATGTGATCATCAAACTGTCAAAACCTCTCCCAGAGCACCGCATCCTCCACCCAGCTGGGAACAAGAATCATCTGACAAAAACCCAATGTATGTGTTCCAGCGATTAGCCTGCTCCTCTGAATTCCTGCCTCTGCATGGGTTTTTTTTCAAATCCGTCAACATACAGACAAAACTTAAACATGCTAGACTGTGTGCATGTTAAAGTGTGACCATCTCAGCAGTGGACTTTAAGTCTTAATTCAGACCCAATCACTGTATCTCCCTCTGCTTTCCTTTCCCTATATTTCTTTGTTATCCGTACACACAGAAAGACATTCCTCTACTCCTTTTAGTATTTTTAACCTTTTTGCAGTGCAGTAAAAAGGAGATGTCCCGTCTTCTGTCTCTCCAGATTAAAGGCTAATACCCAAAATCAATTTAAAGCACAAACGTGACATAAAATGGTTTTAGTAAAGTGCCTGTTAAAGGTTAAAAGCACACAGGAAACTACTTAGATACATTTGAGTAACAGGAAACCACAGTTTCTGTCAATGTGAAACTGTCATCTTGTTGCATACCCCATAATGCATCCCTGCCTCATGTAAGATGGCAAGAAGATGTCACGTTGGGATTTTAAAAGCACAGTGAAATACTGTTCGATAGATTTCAACATCATTCTGCACACAACGCCTCCTGGTAGGGATTGGATATCGGACCGGCTGTACAATGCAACAGTTTGTGACACGAAAGCACAACAAAAGACTGTGAATTACGCCGTTGATCTTTTGATGGAAGAATGTTGTAAATGTATGAATGAGCATTTAAAAGCAGCACAGTTTGCCTCCACATGTACAGCGCTTTGCATACGTCTGCTATTGTCCATGTGCGTACAGCCCCGTCCGTTCAATATTTCTAACATGGTTGTTGAAAAGGTCATCAGGAGCGTGTGTGTGAGACTGAGAGTGTGCATGTTGTATTTTTAGTGACTCTTAAGACTTGCCTGCTTTTTGTATCGTGTCTTTTACAAAATAATGAAGGAACTGTAGTCTTTAAGATGTTAAGAACTAATGCCACGACTTGGAAAATGTGGGTTTTTTTCTTACAATGATTGTTATTTAATAAAAAAAAAAACGTTATGTTGAGAAAAGATTAACATTTATATTTGTAACCTTCCTTGAGTCTCATTCGGGGTCAGTGGGTGAAACGGTAACATGTTATACAATGATGTTAAAATCTCCTTGTATAATTTAACAGATATAACAGTAGTCATAGTGGAAGCTTCGGGAGAGTTCGCTAAGTCACTCACTGGGCTGGGATCACACGTGTACGCCCACACACGCACACGCACAGGTATTTATGTGTGATGTCGGTGGTACAGCAGCTTATTGTACGCTCAGCCAATGAGCAGGTGTGAGACAGCGTGATCCACTTCACCTGACTGAAGCTGTCTAGAGGATAACAGCGTGGCCTTGAAATACACTTCTCACTGTCAGAAGAGTCTCCGCTGCCAACACACGCTCTGTGGTTTTTACTGTCTGAAGAGGAAAACTCATCTGAATCACTGCAAGCAAACAGCCACACAACAGGTGAGATTGTTTATTCTAAGAAGAGTTTGATGTTTCTGTTAAATTCAGCAGGTTTTAACAATGTTCTTTATTTACTTTGGTTGTTTTTGTGAGTGAATTTCTTTTGTTGTGATGTTATTTATATATAATACGTATATTAAATATAGGGTCTATTGATAGAAATCACAATTACTGATATACTTGCTCCAAATGGCATCAAATTCATAAAGGAAAGTGTCTTCATTGAGAGTCTGGGCTGCTGTAATCTGAGAGTCACTGGATTATTCTCAAACTAAGTGACCCGGTGTAATTATAGCTCAACTCATCTTTTAAAAGGACAGATTAGACTGCGTACAGTTTGTTGACAGCAGAGCAAATTATGTCATGCTGCTCACTGGGCGTCATCAGTGGAAGAAGTATTCAAATTAAGTAAAAGTAGTAATGCCACACTATAGAAAGTACTATATTACAAGTAAAAGTCCTGCATTTGAATTCAATTAAAAACAAGTATAGATGTATTTGCAGCACAATTTACTTTGATTGTACTATTATTGATGATGTGTGAGCAGTAGTGTTACAGTTGGTCACGGTGGAGGCAATTTTAACTGCTATATAAATATTCTTGTGTATAATCTATAATAGTAAAGCATCATAATGCATAAATAGATCATATATGTTTAGTTAAACATCAATCTGAAAAGGAACTAAAGCTGTTAAATAAATGTAGTGCAGTACAATAGTTCCTGTAGTGGAAACAAAGTATAAAGTAGCATAAAATGATTTAACATTTATATAACATTTAATATAAATAAAGACCTATATAATATAATATAATATAATATATTACCTCTCTGTGTGTTGCTCTAATGTAAATATCTCACTGGGGATCATCTTATTTGTTCTTCCCTGTCAGATAACTGTTAGTCATTAATACAGCAGGTCCACAGATCTGGAGCTGGATTCAACTACCAGATCTTAATGAAATGGCGTTAGAGGTTATGAAAGCCATCTGATCCCAGGTCAGCTGCAGTGTTAAATTGAGACGGTTCTTGTGTAAGATGTGTTTCTCAAAGCTGGATTAAGAGCAGTGATCTGTGCTGCTCTTAATGTAACGTAAAAATAACAGCAGGACTAAAGCTGCAGTGAGAACATCTCATTAGTCTGTTGACGAGGTGCCTTCAGGAACCAGAATAACTACGTACATTTTACAGTTTAGGTTACTTCTACTTTACTTATATTAGTATTTCCATTTTATACTATATTTTTGTTACTAGTCCACTAATGTGACAGCTGTAATTTTCCTGTTATATGATCCATGTTTATAGATTAACAGTGTATGAATCAGTTCCAATACTGCGTACCTGTTGTCAATAATAATAAAGCAATAATTCAATACATCATAATAATAATAATAATAATATCACTCATTTATTTTGCATAATGAATACTTTTACTCTGATACTTTAAGTATATTTTTCTGATACCTAATTTGTATGTTTGAATGCAGGATTTTAGTTAACTCATTAGAATATAAATATCTTATTATTTATAGGTTTACTAGTATTTACTTGTTTATGATGATATATATATATATTTTTTTTACAATGATAATAATTTTCTACCTCATGTATTTTTAATGTTGCTTATGTCCTGTGATTGTCTTTATTTTCATAAATTAACTATTATTATTACCACTAATACACTTGATACACTGTGGCGTGGCTACTTTTATTTGTATTTATACTTCTTCCACCACTGTTAAGAACTGAACAGTCCACAACCAGCGGATCATCTTAGTAAATTTCACTAAGGAACAGAAACAGAAACAGAAACAGAAAAGACAACAAGTCTCTCAAGTTAAAAGCCCGCCAGTGTTAAATTCACGCCTCCTAATAAGGTTTCCTTTGTCTCATTCTGACAGCACAGAAGAAGAATAATGTCGGGCCTGCAGAAACTCCCCCTCACAGTGACCCTCTGCCTGCTGCTCCTCGCCACACTGTTACCCAGCTCTGAGGCCCGGCGTGGTTTTGGAGGTGGTGGCCGAGGTGGTGGAGGACTCTTTGGCCGTGGCCGGGGCTGGGGTGGTGGTGGTGGTGGTGGTGGCCAGGCCTATAGACCCGTCCAGAGCAGCGGCCCCAGTGCGGGGAAGATAGCCGGAGCAGCTGCAGCAGGGGCCGTAGGAGGAGCAATGGTGGGGTCTGCCCTGAGCCGCCCTGGGTATGGGTATGGAGGGTTAGGAGGATATGGAATGGGGTATGGAGGATATGGAGGCGGGTATGGAGGCTATGGAGGGGGGTATGGAGGTGGCTACGGCCCCCCACGTTACGGAGGTGGCTACGGGCCCAGGCCTGGCTATGAGGCAGAGGGCTCTGGAGACATGGAGTACTACACCGCAGCATCCAGCGGCCCCATCTACAACAGTATCATCGTTGTCATCGGCTCCCTGGTGTCCTTGCTCATGGGCCACTGGGTGGCAGTCATGTAGAGACTGGAGTCAGAGCTGGATACCTCCAAACAGACACAGGTCCAAACCCTGGCTAAATAACCCGCAACCTGACAGGAAACAAAACTATCTGCAGTTTAAATTCAAATGTGACCAATAATATGACTCTTGAATAATGTAAAGCTGTTGCCAATTCATTTTCGCAGTGACAAAGGACTCATTTAGCCTCTACAACATGTGAGTGTGACCCCATGTTTCAGTCTGCAGGTGTACTACCGGTGAACACAAACACTTCCTGTAGATATTTGTCAAGAGTTGTGACATAATTTGACTCAATGAATAACTATTTGTTCTCCACACTGTTTAACGTGGCCAGTCTTTTTATACTTTTGATGATTTCTTATGTTTTCTGGCAGGCAGTCTGTTTAGATAGACCAGGAATAAATTAGTTTAATCAGGTTAACTCAGGGCCAGAGATTAAGAGCAGCTATACACTTCATCATCCCCATAATAATAATAATAATAATAATAATAATTTCATCCTACACAGTTTTTCCATTGTTTCACATATTGTCACATTTCCGGTACATTGCTTGTATATGTATTAAAGTTTCTCATTAAAGTACATTTTATGCCATTTTGTAGACTTTTTATGCAAACAAGCAAAATGTTTGTAATATTGTTATATAAATAAAAAAAAAGTAGAACATTAGTGTTGAATTTTATTGTCCACATTATTGTGAGAAGACAGCGTTCAGATGTTACATGAATAATAGAGATTGATATTTTTATTAAATTATTTAGACATGATATTTCATCTAATTGTTTCACTGAAACCACAAATGGGTTGTGGTGCTGCACGACTTTAACAGCCTGCAGACTCGTATCACATCTCAGATCCGATCGCACCAGGGCTCATGTGTTTGCTTTGTCCTCTGTCCACTACAGTGACCGTCCACAGTCAGTAATCATGCATGAAGACCAGAAACACTGAGAGTGTTGACACAGGCCTCTTGTAGTTAGTTATTCTCTGAGAATATGAGATGTTGCCACAACAGACTTTATGTTTTTACTCAGTATTAGTTCCCAGTTATTCCAGAGCTGTACGATCACATCATGTTTTTTATGCTGTAGTGGTGGAAATAATGAGTATTACTTAAAAATGTTAAGGTACTGATACTTTCTGCTGTTTACATTATATTGTCCCATTTGATCCACTACATTCATTTTAATAATAAAGTTACTAGTTGCTCTACAGATTAGATTTCACATAAAAACAGATATAAGAATATAAATTGAGTTTTTAAAGATCAAACCAGACATCAAACTTTCCCTACCTCGGAAATCATCTCAGATAATCTATTATACACTGACACGTTATATCATAGGCACATGTCAGTCAAGGGACAGTATATTTTTGTAATTTTGAATCTCCACAAAAGCTTTTCATATACATGTCTCAGTCAAAATGTCACCTAAACACTTCTAAAAGTAATAAAGACAAATATCTACAAATCAGTAAATGTAATATGTTTATTTGACAGGACAAGCAAAAAGTGTGAGTCAACCCTCGATATGCAGTAGAAGCTCCAGCAGCACAGTAAATGTGATCCCTCGCAGTAAAAGGCATTCATGACTTTAAAAACGGTACACGTGCATTTCCAAATACATTCAGAGCCAGACACAAGGTAATGTAGGCCACATATAACAACACATTAAAGGTACACTGTGGGGGTTTTGATCACAGAGATTGTTCTACAGGCAAACAATAACAAGTTTGTTACAATATAATAGAAATTATATTCATACACTTATATTTGCAACAGCAAATACGTTGCTTTGAAGTTAACGTAATACAGACCGGATTGTGTTTTCTAACATAATGAGGAAATGTTGTTTAATTAACATAACGGGCAAAAGTGTTGAAACTGAACCAATCAGTGACACTGAAAATGTACAACGATCATTTCTGGAAACAGGGTTGTCATGGCTGCACTCTAAATATAGAAATCAAGAGGGAAAAGGTGTTATTGGTGAGGATTATCATTGATTGACAAAACTTAAGCCGATGATGTTCAGATAAGATGATTTTATAACACCATGGAGGAGGCCATAAGAGCTTATTTAGATATATTGTAGGTAGATACAGCTTATCTTACATGTTTCCACAACAGCTGGGTCACGAGGTGTGTTCAATGTGTGTGTTCTGGCCAGTAATCTTGTAACAGTTTGCAATTAAAACTCCAGAGAGTACCTTTAAATTGCTTTTTTTTTTTCAGCTTCTATGATTAAAAAAAAGGTTATACAAATCTTATGTACTGTACACACGTTGATATGCTTAGCAACCATAAACTGAGACGATAATGGAAAATAACATTCAGTAGATTTTGAATTAAAATTCAGAATTAGTACATCAGTGGTCTTACACTTTAAGAGCACTTCTGCAGTCACAGGCTGCCCCACAGAGGGGCAAGAAAGGACAAACATTGGATAGAAGGGAGAAAGGAGGCAAGAATATAAAAAACACATAAGAAAATATACATATAACACACAGTGCAAAGCAATGGCAGTGCACATGGAAAATGTTAGGACAACATACATAAACAGTCAGAAAAAGCGCTCATTGCTTTGCATCAATTCCAGTGTGACAACAGAAACTGTTATTTTTAGTCTGTTTAATCCAGATAGAATAACTACCAGCAGTCTTATTTAAATGGACCTCATATGATAAATGTCCATTTATGTTTTAAGCTATGATCCAATACTCAGTCATGCTCACAATGTAAAACCTTTCAGTGTGGAGCACTGATATCTGTAACAGTAGACTAATAGAATATTAGACAAGTTAAAGTTCAGTATTAATTGATTATCGTTTTGTATCACCATTCACTGTTATCCAACTCTGTGAACTGAATCAGTCCCCCAACGTCAACGTCCCAGGAGTTAATATACTCATATCACACATAAAACACGTAATGTATATTATTAAAGCAGTTTATTTACACAGCTCATCACCCTGACAAAGACAAAAGACTGTGGTCAATTTCCTTAAATAAAACACACAACACAAACACAGCGAGATGATGAGTCAGTGGGAGTGCCACTCCTTTCCTCTATGTCTAGAGAGCTTCCTAAATTGTTTCTATATGGACTTTAATGGATCAGAATCCTTCCAACCATAACAAGGTTGCAGTGTTGAGTGCAGTTAATGGCCCCTCTCTCTTTCACCAGAGACAAATGTAAGTGCACTCTGTTGCAACACCATGGCTCTCTAGTCTGACCTCTCCCCGTATTAAGACTGACAAAAGTCACTTCACTAACTACCCCACTTAGCTGTTGGTGCTGTCAGCATCGCACACTAGTTCAGAAGCAGATCTGCCGTTCACTATCCCCACATTACTATTCAACATAAGTTAATTAGTCATTATCCAGAGATCAGTTACTCATTACTCGTTACTAGAGTTCATACGTTACTCGTGTGACCACAACTCAGCTGAAGTAGCTCGCTGAGTAAGTTGGGAAATTATGGATGTATTTGTTTTCCAACGTCCTCAGACAGAAGAGGCGCCAGGCGGGTTGGATAAAGTTCTTTTCAACAACATCCGGCAGATTGCACTCCTTCATAAAAGGGTCAAGTAAGGAACTGGGCTATTTCATGCTTTCTCTCACTCTGATGTGGTCTGGGTAGAATAACATCCTGTTTTAGGAAAACTCAGGAAAAAATGCGCCGTCTTTTGGGTGTTCTGTGTGTCATCGCCTATTGTACTGGCTCTGAGATCCTCTGTCTCCCTCTGCCACAGCTTATAGACACACACAAACGCCTTTCTGTATGACTGTGATCCTCTTAAACAATAACAAAACAAACATCTCTGACTGATTGAGCTCAGGATAAATGAATGTTAATAGGAAATTTGATTGTAATTTTAAGTCAAAGGCTAACAGATGAGTATGGTTCTTGAAGTTTTAATATCTTGCGTTTGCCCTTCCTTTCCTTGAATACATAATTGAAACATGCAATACAGTGTGTGTGCCAGCTGTGTGGCGCCAGTCAAGCATGAGGATACAATGTCTAAATATGGAGAAAACATAACAATTCACACATAATGAAGAGTCCTAAAGGGTAAGATGTTCCTCTCTCCCTAATCATTTCACATCCCTGTACTTAAAGGTCCAGTGTGTAACATTTAGGAGGATCTATTGGCAGAAATGGAATATAGCATCCATAGGTATGTTTTCATTAGTGTATAATCACCTGTAAATAAGAATCGTTGTGTGTTTGTTACCTTAGAATTAACTTAATGAGTTATTTTTATCTACAGAGGGAGCGGGTCCTCTTCCACAGAAGCTGCCATGTTGAACCGCCATGTTTCTACAGTAGCCCAGAAAGGACAGGGAATTTCATGTTTTACGAAAGTTTCGCAGCAACCATAGTTTCTTGGAATGGGAGGGTGAGGCGAGTGGGTTGTAATCTACAACTACACCGCTAGATGCCATTAAATCCTACACACTGGTCCTTTAATTCGTTTAACATATTATTCATCACTTAAATTGCTAATGAAGGCCTCAGTGCAGCAGCATTAGCATGTTGCTATTCAGTAGCATCACTATAGTACTGGTGATCACAGCTAAAAGCCCCTGTGAGCTCATCTCCAGTCCCTGTGCCCCTCCTGACAGTTGCCGCGAGTACTTTTCATGGTAGACCATGTACAGCTCTAAGCATTTCCTGACCTTCAGCTGATTGATCAGTGCTGGGTAGCCGATCTCCACAATGCTGACTGTATCATCGTCGTCATCAGTAGCCGTTTTTCTGATAACTTCTGAAGCTGGAGTAACAGGATTGGCTTCAGGCTGATTTACAGGGCGGGGGGTTGAAGTTGCAGGGGTCGAGGAGTTATCTACTGCAGTGCTGTTGGTCTCTGTTGCATTGCTGCCATTGCCAGTGTCTAGGGCAGCAGTAGGTGTGGTGGTTGCAGCAGTAGTTGTGATGGTGGCAGCTGGTTTGTTGTTTGGCTGTCGATTCTCTGCAGGCAGAAGGTCTGTTCTCTTCATACAAGAGTCCATGTACCTATCATAGGTTTCCGGAGGTTTGCTGTACGTGTAGTCTCTGCTGTAGTCATTGGTATCAGTAGACTTGACGCCATATTTCCTGTACATGTAGTTGTTGTAGTAGTACTCCTCCTGAGGACTGTGGAAGTTGAAGTGAGGACGCGGGAACCTTCCTAACCCGTAGCCCAGGGCCATTCCTGCCATAGCTCCTCCAGCTGCTGCCATTACTGCACTGCGCCCAAACCCTCTGGATTTATCAGACGGATACATGCCATTCGCCTGAACCGAGCGGGAAAAGGGAGAGCCGCCCCCAACACCATGACCCCCGTATCCAAAGCTGCCGCCATAGCGAGGGCTCAGGATGTTGTTATTTGGGTTTTTATTGATGTATCCACCACCATATCCTCCATAACCGCCCTGACCACCATAACCTCCATAACCACCCTGACCACCATAACCTCCATAACCGCCCTGACCACCATAACCTCCTCCGTATGGGGAGCCCCGTGCTGGATACTGGTTATGGTAAACTCCTCCACCCGGCTGCTGGGGGTAACTACCCGGATACCCAGGTCTGCCTGATTGCGGAGGGTAGCCTCCCTGATTGGGTTTTACAGGCTGTTTGGGGTTTCCACCCTGAGAGCTGGAGCCCTGATTATTTTTGTTGCCTGTGTTAGTGCTGCCTCTGTTGGATGTGGAGGTCTTCTTTGAGCCAAAGCTTTTCCCAAAGCTGCCTCCTCCTGATCTCTTGGCCAGTGAAAAATGGGTATGAAACGATAAAAGTGACAGACACAGCACAAACAAATCCAGCTTCATCTTCAGCCTGTAGGAAGGGTCGGGGAGGGAAAAGGAAAATTAATAAAGGGAGAAAAAGGAAAATATGAGACAATAATACTTGGATTTGATCATTTTACCCTTAAAATGTCTCGTCTCATTTAATAGGAGTCGTCTGTCTTTCAGAAGCAGTGAAATCCTTGCGTTGCATCTCCCTCCAACTTTGATGTACAAGAGAACATGCACCTAACACAGGTTTTTGACTACTGTGTTGCATTGCTTTAACCATGTCCTCTTTTATCTTGTTCTACTTAAGTTAGTAGAAGCAATATACGTTAATGTCGACCATATTTTAGTGCCAGCCTCTACATGTTTTTGCACCGCACGAACATGCCAATCTAGTTTACCCCATGGTTTAAACACAGAGCTGTGAGTACCATTTTGTTATGTTCAGTAAAATCTTAATGTTACTGAAGACGACCATACGGTACTCTTTACAGTCAACTGTAACTGACACTGTTGCTAAGGCTGCAGTTTTTCCATTCAGTGCCTATGACCATTTGAGGATATTTAATTAATACACGGTAATGGTGTACTGTTACTAACAAAAATATTACAAACATCAATTACAAGTAAAGACATGTGATCAATCTTATTATATTTGTCTACCGTCAGAGGTTTTACTATACTGTTTATACCGCTGCAATACATGAGAGCAGAGATATGTCACCCTCTACCACGCCCACTTTTGGGTGAAAAAAGTACTGTGAATGTGCCTAAAAGCTGCTGTGTTGCATTTTGCACATCAAACGATAAAAAAATCTGAGTTTATGATTTTCTTTACTTACCCAAAGAGCAAAGGAAGGTAAAAGAAGCGACATGTGGCTTCAGACCATCCACAGACAGGATGGAAATGATAAATTATGGAAACCAGGCTGTCAATATGTGTTTGTCTATAATATGGCCCTAACATAAAACACCTGCTTTTAGAATATAGTTTGGTTTGACAGTCTGGAGCAGAAAGTATTTTAACCTTAATAATTCACATAAATGGAGCTGACTTACCTTCTAATAATGAACCTTATAAACATCATAAAGTAACACAGGAACTGGGACTAAAACCATCCTGATTTCTACTTCTCTCTGCTCGCAGTAAAAGGTCGATTAATGAGCACAAACTGCAATAAAAATAGAGACAGCAGTTCTGCTTCACCACAGCCATAAATGACTTTACAGTAACGCCAGATTGGGCAGACGACCAAAACAGCAAAATGAAGTGTTTTAATGATAGGAAAAGTGAGAGATGTCAGATACATGAGTTTCAATAAGGTAGTTGGTAGGTTTGTTCACACTGATGGAAAGGACATTCATCAACCTCTATTACTTATATTTTTTTCTGTATAGCAACACTGATCGTTGATCTTCAGTGACATAACTGTTTGCCTAAGTGGCCATATGATTTGGGCTCCTAATACCTAAAAAACAAAATTATATTATTATATTATGCAATTGAATTGAGATTTGCGTTTTGCGGCAGTCAAATCAGAGGACTGCTTTTACCCAAAAGGAATTTGGGAGCAGGGCAAAGTTCCCGGATCTATCTCTTCTAGATCTATACATCTAAATCTATACTATTGCCACACATCTGGTTTAACTTTTTGCGGGGATTTTGGAATGACTGGAAAGATGCGTGGTCCAACGTTTTCCCCCTGTTGAAACTAAATCATGAAATCAGTATAGGACTGTATGCTGGCGAGCTAAACAGCTTTTTCAAGTCAAGACATGTTAGGATATTCACAGTTATCCTGATTCAGAGTGTTTTTTGTTATCGAGATATGCGATAATGTTGTATATCGCCCCATCCCCAATTGTAGCCAAAATTGCAAATCAATGAACAGGACTGATTTACGCATATTACAGATATTCACATGATTTCTTTTTACGTCAGTATCATAATGTAGTACTTTTTTTTCCATTATTATTTATATCTATCAAAATTGTGCCCATTATAACTTCTACGATCCGAAACTAGCATCCTGAAATTCCTTGTAAAATGTAATTCCTTCTTGTAAAATTGTATCATTGTATCAGTCCAAAACCTGTTAGGAATTTAAGCTTGAAAAATAACTTTAATTATTATTCGACTATTAAATTAGTTGCCATTTTTGATTAATTTTCTGTAATTGGACTGATTATTTACTCAACCGATTGTTAAAGCTCTATATTTGATCGATATAGTGCACCCCTAACCGGTTTATTTCCTCCTTCATTTGAGGCTGACAATATCTGTTAATGACTTTATGACACGAGTAAACAACCTGTCTGATAATTTTGCATCATGAAGGGAAAGGAAATGTCACTTCAGTCTGATAATCAGGGAACAGTAAGCTCCTATATCATTTCCCTGTTTCAAACACAGGTTTTATGAATGAATCTTGCATTCAGTATTTGCTGTCAACCAGTGGCAGGAAGTAAACCACATCTGTTTCCATAGCAACGCCAGTTCCGCTACGGCTAATTGCTAAATGTTAGCCTCCTGATCATAGCCTACCAGAGCTCTGTTTGAGTCTTTTATCAGACGTCTCTCTTCTTATCTGCTCACTTGCACGTTTATCACCCACAATACATTAATGTGTCCGTTAGCATTTATCTGAAACACAGACCCAGAGATACACACACACACACACACCCAAATACAACAACCAATAGCAGGGGAGCTAGCGTTAATTGACAACGACTCAGGACACCAATCTCATTATTCACTGTTTTTTGTTATTAATTGTGGCTAGAATCGTTACATTTTTACCAGAAAATGATGATTTCCCATGACAGAAAATATTTAATTCTCTGTGAAGGTAACCCAGTCAGTATTAATTACATGAGTAGAAAACAGGTGTGGCAGTGACAGGATACCATAGAACTCCGAAGTGTTGTTATTGTTTGATGATGGGGGACGGTGAGACATATTCATCCAACAATATCCTCCAAAACAGGTCCGAGCAAAGCCGGGCTGTTAATGAATACATACTGCAGACAAACAATACTGACCTTGTACTGACAGACACTTTAACGTGGCCTTTTCATTCCGTTAAAAGATGGCGCTTGCCAGTGTCTAACGTTAGATACATAACGTTAAGAATCGAGAGTAAGTCACACACCGCGAGGAGAGCGTTGAGCAGCGGTTCTAATACAGGTACAGATGGTCGCCGGAGGTAAACACAATGTGTATTTTAATTTAAACCGGCATTAAAATGTGAGGGTACAGTTAGTTTTAAATTCAGGACCAGTCTTACCTTGAGGGACGTCTGTTTAGGTGTGTTTGGTTAAGTTTCCCGGGTCGTCCGTTACACTGGAACGTTGATGCAGTTCCAACGTTTTTAGTTTGGAAACTGGTAGATTCTAAATGACGTAACGCGGAACGACCGATGTGGGTCGCCTAGGAACAGAAGGCGAGAGGGGAGGGGGCGGAGCTTTCCTTACCACATTTCCCGACAACCAACAATGTGATCCTGTTGACTTCATACGGAAAATGACCACGAGCAAATTCAGAGTACAAAAGCTCCTCTTGTAGGCAGCACTTAGTAAATAATAGTACTAGAGTAACCACATTTGTACTGTACTCTTATTTACAAGAATGAAGTACTTGACTTTTAATCCATTCATACTATAGATCTTAAAAGGGACACACTTTACATATAAACATATGGCATTTTAAAATATGATATAGGGTTCAGATTAAATAGTCAAAAGTCTATAACAATTATTATTAAACATCAATAATATCTGATATAGATAGATAGAAGATAAAAAATACTTTATTTATCCCCAAAGGGAAATTATCTGATCTGAATACTTCTGGTGGTTAAACTTTTATGCAAGATGTTTACTTGTTAGATCCTCTTTATTCTGGTGTTATGGAAGTTGCTACTTTGCTATGTGAATACTTCTTCCTCCACTAAAAGGCAACTGTAGCTGCCGTCAGAGACAGTTATACAGTTTAAGTTCATTTTATACTTTTGAGTCAACAATTAAAATAATTTACGTTTTAGGGGATCATATTTCTGTTAGCAGTGTATTTTAAGCGCATGCACATACACACAGAGAGATGTGTATTTAATCGCGGAACTAATGTTGTTATGTTGTAGAGGGGCGGGTCATTATTTAGACACAGCACCTGGAATGTTAATTAGAAGATGGCGTTATGAAGATACTTATTAATGCTACGGAGATTTGGATGAGACTCGTGAAATATTCCTTTGATGTTTATTCTATTTTGAAATGCTTTGTATGATATGAAACTCAATTTGTGATTTGTTTATTTTAATTTATCTAGTTCTCACGGCATGACTGACCACCTATGTGCAAATAAATGCCCGTGCATAATAGGAACGGCTTGTGTTCGTGATTTAAACTGGAGGGAGTAACAGCAACACTCTCACATAAATGATGAGAAAACAGCCACCAAACCATGCCATATTTGCCTGCCTATTTATTAAAAAAGTCAGCCACTCTTTGTTGTTGTTGTTTATCTGTTGGCATATTTGAAGTGTGTTTTTTAGGTCATATGTTAGCTGTTATCATACCAGAGGTGACCACCAGATACTAATGTAAACAGTCCCAAGAACTCAGTTCTGTAAGGACCAAAGATGTTAAACTTTACTGGACCTAAGATCAGTTTCTATTTTTTCATGTTGTAACCCAGATAACAAAAACTCAAATTCTTGCATTATGGAATATTGGGTACATACATTTTAAATAAACTTAAATAGCACATTGTTATTTTATAGAAGCAGTGATCCATAGGAAAGAGAATCATCAATATTACATTTCAGCGTAGCTTACAACTATCTCATTACACAAAATGCCAGATTAATTCATTTTTAATGTTGATTGTAAAAGGAGACATAGTGACATGATGGAGACAAAGGGGATACCTCTTAGCCACTGGCAGAAGAAATAAGCAGGAGATTGAGGGTGCTTTTAAGAGCCTGAACAGAGAGATAAGTGCACTGATACATTCTTGAACACTGATGACGCCACCTGCTGGACATTGAGAGTCTAAAAATCTTCTGTGATTAATCAATTTTTTTTAACCTATAACCACCATTCTCTTTTAAAATAAAAAGTCATCATAGAGTAAAAAACCTAATTGAGTTAAACCAAAGATGCCACTAATTAATGAGCTATATACTGTGGCTATAGTGACTTCCTTACAGTAATAATGTTACATTTTCATACAAATATATTGTTTTACAACCAACACAACACAATAGTGACATTTTCACAGAAAAATACAACTAACCTAATTGGATTTCACTCTCATTTTATTTTTATTAAGTGTTGCATTAAAAATATGATGCAGAAAAATAATTAACTGGACAACAACAACAACTTTATAACTGAAAGAAACTAACCTGCAGACCTCTCACCAAGGCACATATCTACCAAAACATCTGACATTGGTAGGTAGTAATAGTTTGGGACAGTGAGCAACACAGCAGCATGGAGCTCTTAACATGTGCTGATACTCAATAAACAAAATGTATTCAGGCAAAAAAGGTAGGATGTAGACAGTTTGTCCACAGTGTACTTTACACTTGTTTTGAAAAATCATAAAATCCACAAACAAAATACTTAATCTAATCTCAACAACCACAGACTCAGATGATAATCTTTCTCTTTAAGAAACCCCAGAGGTAAAACACTGAACACAAGATGGAGGAAAATATAAAAAATATATAAAAAACATTTTACTGTCATCATCAACGGTTTGTTGTTCCTTAAAGTGGAGCCGATTTTAGATACTCTTCATACTCTTGGGTAGAAAAGCAGCACAGTAATACATTGTATCATATGTCATGTGTTTTTTTTAATGCAAAATGTAACTATAATTGTCAAATAAATGTAGTGCAATAAAATATTAAATACTGAAGTACAAGTGCAGAACTTGAGTAAATGTGCTTATGGTACTTAAATTATAATAACCCCATAATACATACATTTTGAGGAAAAGGGGATTATTTTCTTTGCATTTATTATGTAATTTATGGATTATTAGTGCAATAACATGCATACTTCCGCCTTCAATTCAATGAACTATATGAACTGATAATTACATAAATTTAAAGAAATTATGATCCATTACAAATGTAGGTAATATAAGGTATGCTCATGATGTAAAACCTCTGTCTAAAGTCTATATTATTCAATACAATACTCACTCTTTTCCTCTTTGGACTGTCTTTGAATCAAATAGTCCTACAACATCAGTGCCCCTTGAGTTAATACAATATCACACTTAAAGTACATCTCCATTATTGCAGTGCTGTTTATTTATACAGTTATCACCTAACAGAGCCTATACCAGCCCCAAGGTGACAATTAATCCCCTCAGCAGCTCTGCTCGGGACTCTGTGTAGCTGTACTTCAGCACAATGGTGTCAGACAATGTTTACCATGTTCACCATCTTAGTTTAACATGTTAGCATGCAAAAATTTGCTAATAAGCACATAGAACAAAGTTTATCTGAAGCTGATAAGAATGTCATTAGTTAATATTAGGTCATAAACCAAAGTATTCTATGAAAAAAATTACTTGATGATGGCATGAAAGGTCAGGATCGCCAAAGTTATTACAATCTACCCAAAACTCATCAAGATATGTGACTTAAAACTGAAAATGTGCACCATATGTCATTAGGATTCATCCTCTGGGGACCATGAGTTGAGATAATTCCAGTCCGGACCAAAGTGGTGGACCAAATTACGCCATGCTGCTAAATTAATATTATAAACATTCTTTGTTTCTATATTTCTCTGTGACTGCTAATGAAGGCCTCAGTGCAGCAGCATTGGCATGTTGCTATTCAGTAGCATCACTATAGTACTGGTGACCACAGCTAAAAGCCCCTGTGAGCCCATCTCCAGTCCCTGTGCCCCACTGCGTGGCCTGGGTTCTGTCTTTTTCTTTAAGTACTTTTCAGAGTAAACCATGTACAACTCCAAGCATCTCCTGACCTTCAGCTGATTGATCAGTGCTGGGTAGCCAATCTCCATAATGCTGACTGTATCATCGTCGTCATTAGTAGCCGTTTTTCTGAGCAGCTGTAAAGCCGGAGGCCCGGGATTGGCCTTGGACTCATTTACAGGGTGGGGAGTTGAAGGTGCAGGGGTCAAGGAGTTATGTGCTACAGTGCTCTTGGTCTCTGTTTCAACGCTGCCATTGCCAGTGTCTGGGGCAGCAGTAGTTGTGGTGGTTACAGAAGTAGTTGTGTTGGTTGCAGCAGTAGTTGTGTTGGTTGCAGCAGTAGTTGTGGTGGTTGCAGAAGTAGTTGTGTTGGTTGCAGCAGTAGTTGTGTTGGTTGCAGCAGTAGTTGTGGTGGTTGCAGCAGTAGTTGTGTTGGTTGCAGCAGTAGTTGTGTTGGTTGCAGCAGTAGTTCTGGTGGTTGCAGCAGTAGTTGTGGTGGTGGCAGCTTGTTTGTTGTTTGGCTGTCGATTCTCTGCAGGCAGAAGGTCTGTTCTCTTCATACAAGAGTCCATGTACCTATCATAGGTTTCCGGAGGTTTGCTGTACTTGTAGTCTCTGCTGTAGTCATTGGTATCAGTAGACTTGACGCCATATTTCCTGTACATGTAGTTGTTGTAGTAGTACTCCTCCTGAGGACTGTGGAAGTTGAAGTGAGGACGCGGGAACCTTCCTAGCCCGTAGCCCAGGGCCATTCCTGCCATAGCTCCTCCAGCTGCTGCCATTACTGCACTGCGCCCAAACCCTCTGGATTTATCAGACGGATACATGCCATTCGCCTGAACCGAGCGGGAAAAGGGAGAGCCGCCCCCAACACCATGACCCCCGTATCCAAAGCTGCTGCCATAGCGAGGGCTCGGAACTTTGTTGTTGGGGTTGTAGTTCATGTATCCACCTGGGTAACCTCCATAACCACCATAAGCCCCATGACCTCCTCCATACGGGTAGCCCCCAGCTGGGTAACCTCCAGCTGGATAGCCCCCAGCTGGGTAGCCTGGCTGTTGGGGGTATCCTCCCTGATTAGGGTAGCCCCCTGGTCTGCCTGGTTGTTGGGGATAACCGCCTTGATTTGGGTAACCTCCTTGATTTGGGTAGCCCCCTGGTCTCTGTGGTTGCTGGGGGTAACCTCCTTGATTTGGGTAACCTCCTTGATTTGGGTAACCTCCTTGATTTGGGTAGCCCCCTGGTCTCTGTGGTTGCTGGGGGTAACCTCCTTGATTTGGGTAACCTCCTTGATTTGGGTAGCCCCCTGGTCTCTGTGGTTGCTGGGGGTAACCTCCTTGATTAGGGTACCCTCCTTGATTTGGGTACCCTCCTTGGTTAGGGTAACTTCCTTGATTAGGGTAGCTCCCTGGTCTCTGTGGTTTCTGGGGGTGTGTGGGTTGTTTAGGCTGTTTGGGGGTCTTCTTAAAGATATTTAATTTCCCACCAAACCCTCCCTTTTTCTTGGCCAGTGAATAATGAACCAAAAGAAGGGACAGACACAACACAGCTACAGTCAGCTTCATCTTTGCTCTGAAGAGAGAAAATATATATATTTGGGTATTAGTCAGGGGAAAGATTTAAGAAGTTCAGATATGTGTATTACAATACCAACACATTGACTCACAATCATTTAGTCTCAACAACCTCCTCCTTGTGTTGAGAATTTTACCAAATTAATGAACCAAAACTAGACATTTCCTGTAAATATTTATATTATTTTAGCTTTCTAAGTACACAATATCTTTTGGTGTGTGTGTTGTGTGTTACATTTTCCTTATATTAACAGTCTTATTGTGTTTGCACCACACAGCCATGCCCACCTTGTATAACCCATGAGCTCAACATGAAGCTGTCTGTGGGCCAACATGCTGCCATGTTTAAAATAGCACAGACCTTCCTGACTGCACTTGGCCAACAGACACTCTTTACGCTCTTGTGTGTTAATATTGTTTTCAAGACCTTTTTCCAATGACTACCAAAGGAAATACAATAATTATTATGTCAACTGATATTTCCATTAAGTTGGTACATTCTTACATCAATTCATACAGTTTTACATGCAAATATTTCCCTGCTTTGTTCTTCTGGAATTAGTCAGACAACCTGCTGTGGAAAAATAATGTCAATGCAGCTTCTTAAAAACTGAGTATTCATAAACACATGGATACATACTGCTGACCTGGTAAAGCCACTGTGCACCGCCGCTTCTTTCTTTAGATCATGTGGTTCCCTAACTCTCTGTATCTGCCCTCCTCCCGCTAAAAATATTCATTACCCCCCGCCCACCTCCTCCAAACATAACCGTGTATTTATATACGGTTTAATGAAAGATGGCGTTTTACTAAATTAATGTAATTTTTTTTATACGTTTGTATATTTCTGTATATTTGTTCATATGTGTTGAAATGTATTTATATGTTATATTTGTTTATGTGTTTATATTTATTTATATATGATTAGGTATTTGTTTGTGTTTATATATTTCTTTATATGTTATATTTGTTCATATATGTTTATATATCTCTATAAAAGCAAGAAATCTCTTGTCTGTCTGCGCGCGTGTGCGCGCGTGTGTGTGCGCGCGCGTGCGTGCATGCATGTGCGTGCATGTGCGTGTGTGCCTCAAATATCTCTGCAGATCAGGATCAGACTGACCTGAGAGTTTCAACATGGCTGCTGTGCGGTTTAACTGCACTAGTACTGTCAAATGGTTTGAACCGAGTTGACCATTCGTTAATTTTAAAATGACTAAACTACCAATAGATTAAACTACCATTAAGTAGCATTAATGACCAAACTGGCACATAAATAAGTAGCTTTAGCCATACCTCAAGTGAAGGTCTAGTTGTTTCGTACCTCACGTTATTTAGTTGCAAGTCGACGTTTTGTGAAAGAAAAGTCGTATTGTTTAGTTAACTTCCTTAGTTATAAATAGTTTACGACATAACAGATATACACATTATAGCACAGTGCACATCCAACAGTAAATGCCACAGTACAAGAAGTTTGTGATGAAAGGTAAGGAATAGCAGAAGAGGAAGTAAAATGAATAATACTAATATATGTATATATATATATATACTTTTTAAATTCCTCAAACAATTCCTCACAACATCAAAGAAAGACAGCAGTCAGATCAATCTCAGAAATAGTGTCTGTGTTACTCTGGATAATCCACAGAAACATAGGTTTGCTTTAATTTGTCCAGGTTATATTATTCATGTACAGTCTATCTGCATGGTGTGTGTGTGTGTGTGTGTGTGTTAGATAATGAGAGCTGGTTTAAATGAACATTTTTCAGGTTTCCCCACCTTCTGATGTTATCAATTTACACAGGAAAGACCTTTTGGAGCTTTTACTGAATGTCACTGATATCCCTATAAACTTCTTTACATTGTTACCATGAATGTTTCTATCTGTAGACCCATTTTTAAAGATACTTCCTTCTCATTAACAGATGTTATAGTAACAGTGTTACAAGAAATAACAAATAATTATATGTGAGCTCATTTAAAGTCTGATGTTCTTCTGTGAACAAAGTAAATTATTCTGTTTAGGATCTTAATATTTTCACTTGGCCTTTGTATAATATACTGTACAGATGGTGCCACCTGCTGGCCATGAAAGACTACAACATAACATTTAAAAGTATTTCCAACCACCTTTTCAGTCAAACCAATGTAGCACAGCAGCTCATTTCACAGGCATCGTCAACAAAGAGAGAGAGACACACAACTGTAAACGGTTTCATGATTTTAATCATGTGAATGCTCTTTTTTTTTTCTTCTCATCACCCCAACACTCATTTGCCATGGTAAAGTGGTGCATGTTAATGTAGGGATAAGACGTAACTGGACAGCAGTGCAATTTTAAACTGAAATAATAAGAAGATAGGGGACCCATCATAATGGCAACGATGTACCAAACCCTCCGTGATGGCAGTAGATAACAGCACACAGGTACACTGATGCTCATGAATAAAAGGACACAAACACTGTTCCAAGAGGTGACACAAGGAAGGGTATTCAGGATGGAGTGTCTCTCTGCATCCCATCCAATAACTAAGACATTTACAACAACTCTGTCTGCTCAGCGTCAGAAACATGAAACCAGTCCAGTCGTTCCCATCATTTAATTTCTGCACAACCCTTTAACCACGCAGTAGACAGTACCAAGTCTTCAAATATATCACGTCAGAAAATCTTCCAGCAGATCAACTCAACAATATGACATCTTTCTCAACTGGTGACGGGATGTTGTTAAAAAGCACAAACTGCTTCGTAAATCAGATCACATCTGCTCAGAATGTCAGAATAAAAATCTACCCAGAGATGATAAAAAGCAACTATTCTGATGGTTTTTAATTATTTTTCTTCTTATCCTCTTTGTGCACCACGAGTGCAAAGCTGATTGAAAAGGTGATTGCTTTTTCATCAGTATCAACACTGGTGATTATAAGGAAAGGACTCATTTGGATTTGGATTGATAACTTGGATCGAATGGAGGGGAGGGGAGGGGAGGGGAGGGGAGGGAGGAGACATTCCACTAAAGAGAAAAAGGTGCAACCTGGCCCTTTTAAACACACTGAGGCGAATAATCAAACCAAAATACAAACAATGGTACAATATAGAAAATCTGTTCTCTGATGAAAAATGCAAACACAAACACAATCGCCCTTTAACCTTAGGCACATATGTAAAACCAACAATATAAATCTTCAGTAGCAATCTTTTTTGCTTAAAAATATGCTTTAATTTATGACATCAGCTGCTGGGAGGCATCTATGAATGGATGTCAATGAGGATCAATGGATGTCAGTGACGACTTTCATTCAGCTGCGATGAAATCAATTACTCCCACAATGCCAAATGTGTAAAGGGGGTTTGGAGGACTTATACATTACAATTTATACAGTAAACTTTCCAATAACAGCTTTTAAGGTCATATTTATGAGGGCTAAGGAAGTAGGATAGTTAAGCGAATCACTTGTAATGCTATACATTAACTTCTTTTAGTGCCACAATCCCAAAAATAACATTAATCTCTATTGTGGCTTCAGGATTTAAGCTTCCCCCCATGTTAATAATATATCTGTCTGGGGAAAAAAAAGAAGTATTTTCTCTTTTCAGTTTCAAGAAATTTTAGCATCATAGTGTTAAAACACAATACATACACTGTATATGCAAATAAAATCTGCAATTATTTTTACAGTTTGTCCATTCAGTGGCTTACCCCGTGGCTTAGACTGCAGCACAGTCACCACTGAGTTTAAGGAGTGAGCTCTCTCTCTCTCTCAATAATATACCAGTCTTTGTTTGCTAATTACAGCAGCAAGCAGCTACGCTATGTCGCCCTGTTCAGAGGCAGGGCCAGTCCAGATCTGCTAGTCCACCAGCTGACAACATGTGATTATGACCATCAGCACGGTCCAGTTTACAGAGCAAAGATGAAGGCGGGGGCAGCGACTGAACCAAAACGTTCAGCAAACTATTGACAAAAAAAAAAAAAAAAAAAGAGGAGTTCTGTTGCATCCTGAGCAAACAGATATCCAAATAAAACTGCTATGAGAGAAAAAGTCTTTGAGAGACATTAGGCCTTTGCATAGCAAAATGTACAACGCTGCTGCTGCTGTGCTGTAAGACAGGCAAAATATACAGAATATTTACACATTTACAGGAGGAGGAGGAGGAGGCGGAAGCTGTCTAGACTGTAAGGAGACTGTCTAACAGTTGACCAGGACACGCCATGGGTCATGCATGGTCATCCAACATCAGTGTCCAGAGAAATTTCAGGCTGGTTCGTCCAGCTCCGACAGAGAGTTACAGAGAACGGAGTGCAAAAATGTAAAAAGCAGAGGGTCGAGGGTATGAAGAAGCAGCTGCTGAGATGACACAGAAGAGGCAGCAGACTTTTCCTCCTATGAGGACACAGGGCTGTGTGAGTCCATCTCCCCCCTTCAGTCCAGAGGACTCCGGCTCCTCTTTACACGCCGTTGGCACTCATCTTGCTCTTCTGGGACACCTCTGTTGCTGCTTTAGCCTGTGGAAGAGGTCACACAACTTCAGTTCAATTTCAGCATCCAGCATACATACAATGTGTTAAACAGTCAACTGGGGAAGTTCCTTCTTATGGATTCATTTCTTTTTAATGTTTATACCATTTTGCCTTTATTTGATGATGAGATAAATCATGGAACATAGAGTGAGAGAGGGGATAGGATGATACAAAGGTCATCAGCAGACATGAACCGTGAACCGGGGTGGTCACGGTCACATGGTTTGTGTCTCAAACTATTTAATTACCAGGAGTCTCCATGCTAGCAGTACTGATTAGTGCACTACAGTGACCGATTTATCAGTAAATGTTCCTTAGAGTTGTGGTCCAAGTAAAGACCTCACTGCCTAAATTACTACATGAAACATCAATATGTTGTCAATAACCTTCCCTCAGACCAAAGAGTAAACATCCACATCCATCAGGACACAATTCAAGTGTTACTTGGCAGTGATACTTAAATTAAGTTTCAGGATTAAAACCTTTTGTATTTATTTGACCGACACAACAAGGCAGACTTGTGAATGTGTGCCTTGTATCGGACTTCTTAAGCCTGAGAAAAACACAATCCCCCCGTATGATACATGTTTGCTTCAAAATGTAACATAGAACATAAAGTTAGTGGACCGTGAGCAGATGTTTGCTAATAAAGAATTGGATTACTATCGCTTACCCCACCTTTAATGGAACTGACATTTAAACAACAACAGACAACCACAGTCGTCTTAAAACAAAGACAGTAAAGCTAAAGAACAAAGAAGTGAGTGAAACATCTTGTGTCACTTTTATAATAACGTGTGTGCCAATTTGAAAGCTGCTACAATCACATTAAAAACACAACTTTAAAATGTGTTTTGATGTCATGCAGTATTCCTTAAAACGACTAATGACTGGAGGTTTAAAAAAAATAAATCCCTTGGAAGTGAGCGTGACAGCAATAGCTCTATTTTTATCAGCTATTTTTAAACCTCACACAGATTAACTTGAGATGTTCAGTTTCAACTTTGCCAGCAGCTTTCTGTATTCATGATGGTTACTCTGTCAAACTATTTCTTCTATGTATCTAAACTCAACACATTTCCAACCAGTCTCCATACTGTCTCTACTGTATTCAAGTACTTTCTATCAAGCAAGAATAGCTGGTTTTCCAGAATAGTGGCCGTGTCCCACTGTGACAGATTAGCATGTCATGTGAGAAAGATCAAAGCCAGGA